ATCATTCAAATATATATATTATTTATTACATATTATGTACACATTAATTTTATAAAAAAATAAAATAATAAAATATATATTTCTATTTTTTTATCCTTCTATTTTTTTATATTATCAAACACTAAAAAAAATTAATTTTTTATATTTTACATTTCTTTTACCAAACACAAAAGAGGAAAAGAAGAATTTTCTATTTGAATGATAAAAATTATATTACTCTCATTTTTTATTCTTTTATTTTTTTTTTATCGATCTTACCATACACACCATTAATCTTAGTATCATTATCCCAACTTGAATTCGAGACCGCTATTCGAAATCTTAGTGAAAGACTACCGGAGACCTTCTGGTTCATCACTCAACAAGAATGGATACAAACAAAGAAAACGTGATGAACGCTACGTATTTGTGGAGCATGAGAAATATTAACTATCACATGCAATAGCTATAAATATTTTATTCCTAGTTATTGCATGTGTATGAAATCACAAATTAATAAAAAATAATAAATAATAAATATATTTGTATTTTTATCTAAAATTAAATCAAAAATATATATAAGAAATAAAAAATTTAAACATCGATTTGTAGTAGAGGTGAGAGATGGTGGGTGGCAGTGGTGGTAGTAGGAGACAGTAATGGTTGTGGTGGGTGGCAATGACTGTGGTGGCGGCGGCGATGGTGGTGGTGGCGGCAACTGTGGCGATGATGGTGGTAGTGGTGGCGGCAACGACGACGGCGACTACAGTGGCGGCGGCGGCGGTGGTGGTGGTGGTAGAGATAGTGGTGGAGTGGTTTCAAATACTATTTTTTAAAAAAAATATTTATAAGAAATAATTTTAAAAAGTATTTTTAAAAGTTACTCCAAATACACTCTTAGGGACATATTTTTTCTGTTAAATTTAGGGTGTTAATATTAGCTGTTAAATTAGCTTTAAAGTTAAATTTAAAGTAATCTCAACCGTAAATAGTAAAAGTCATTTTGTATATTTTTTGAGATTTGAATTGTAAACTACTTTATTATATAGATTATTATTTTTACTTTTTTTTATGGGCAACTATATTTTTACACTACAAGAGAGGGAAAGAAAAAAAGGAAGGGGAACTTGAACCAGGGATGTTAATCGAATCGAACTTTGTGAATTTGAGTCAAAGCCTAGTGAGTTTGTGTTTTTTAAACGAGCCTAAAAAATTATTCAAGTTTAATTCGTTTAAAACTCGAGTCGAATCTGAGCTTGAATTGCTCGACTATTTTATATATAAACAAATCTAAAAAATTATTAAAATTCAGTTTGTTTAAAATACGAGTCGAGTTTAAGTCGAGTTTTATCTGAACTGAGCCCAAGGCAAACCCGAATAACCAGTCTCAATTAACGGTCTTACGTCGAACCATCAACTTACCATTTTATTATAGAAGGCTCCAACAATTCAAGTAAGACTTCTATTTCATACAATAATTTATTATTAATTAATGATACGATGCGATAACACTAACTTAATACAACCATTACCCTCAATAATAAGTCAACAACGAAGAATTATCTTGTCAAACAAGTTAAAAGTAATAATATTAATAATTGAACAATTAGGTGGTGCGTGAACACTCGACAGTTGTGGGAGACCGGAGGTGTTAAATGGGAGTTGGCGTGATGGACTAGGCCATTGGACTTTTCATCTCGGTTCATAATCACTTGGTCTTTGATAGTTTGGCTTTTGATCACGCAAATTGACAATGCTACACACATTACCTCTAATATGAAAAAAATTAGAATAGTAGTCCTATTAAATTAATTGAATATTTAATAATTGAGATTATGTCATATCAAATAGAATAGATAAAGTAATATACAAATATGGTGTATATATCATTATTAGGGTAATTAGTGTCTGATTGTACGATATAATATGAATATTTTGAGAGATGTTGATGGTTATTAGATGAATCTATTTAAGATCGTTAGATTGACTTATTAAAATCTGTTCTATTTTATATAAGGGAGAATTATATTTACACTCTCTGAGATTTATCACTTAATCACTCAGACACATGACATTTGAAATATTACACTCAGACCCTTTAAAGTTTGTACGCATGTAACATTTAGACCATTATTGTAAATATATCCATTAATAAATTACATTCAAACTTCCTGAAGTTTGTAAACACATATTACTTAGACTCTTTAAGTTTAAAATATTATATTTAAATCAAAAATACTTCAGTCAAATATAGAATATTAAATAATTTAAATTTTACAATTAAAATTTATGTTCTATTATATCATTTTATTAAAATAAAATCAAAGATTAAAAATCAAATTTTTCTTAAAAAATTATAATTAGTATACAATTATATTGTCTATTAAAATTTAATTTAGTCGTTTAAATGACCAAATTAAAATACCAAACTATCCCAATTGAAGTTAAAGATATTGTGTTAATTACAATTTGATCCCTTATTTAATTTTTTAGTTTTATTTTAATGAATATTATAATTGTATATTAATTATGTTTTTTTTAAATTATATTTTTTTTTGATTTTATTTAAATAAATAACATAATAAAATATGAATTTTAGTTGTAAAATTCATATTCTATTAAGAATGACTTAAACCCCTTCTTGGATTTTTTAGTTTGATTTCAATAGATAGTATAATTGTATACTAATTACAATTTTTTAAGAAAAATTTGAATTTTTATTTTTGATTTTATTTTAATAAATGATACAATAGAACATAAATTTAGGTTATAAAATTTAAAATATTTGATATTCTATCTTTGATTAGAGTATTTTTTGTCTAAGTATAACATTTTAAATTTAAGAAATCTAAATATTATATACGTACAAACTTTAAAGGGGGTGTAAATGTAATTTATTAACAGATATATTTATAGCAGGAATCTAAATGTTACTCGCATATAAATTTTAGAAAGTCTGTATGTAATATTTCAAATGTCATAAAATTTTAGAGATTAAGTGACAAATTTTAAAGAATCTAAGTGTAATTATGCTAATTAATACATTGCAACAGAACTATTATTACAAGATGTAATCGATGGGATTGACCAACATTTCTATCATCCACACCCTCCGAGAAGGCAACCGAGGGAAAAGGGTAGTGCACGCTTGGGCAAAACTGAAAAAGTCGTTTCATTTTTTAATAAGTTTCGTAATTCTAACCTTTTATAAGGGCTTTGTTGCCACACCCCAAATTGAGGAATTGTGTTCAATGGTTGATATGACCAATGATTCAGACCCTAGTCTAGTTGCTATATTTATTTTTTAATGTACCAAAAAAATTTAATAATACTCACTATGATGTGAATTCTGACCATTTAAATATTAAAAAATAATAATATTATTTAGCTCTAAAAATTAATTAAAAATATGTTGATTTAATGATGTGGTGACAAAGTCATGTTTGAATAACATTATTGTAGTTCTAAATGTTGGATTTCTCATTGCAAATCTTATCATGTAATATATGCTGAGTAATGTTATATTTATTAAATTTTGTATCTCAAATTAATATAAGTGATTAGATTAGTGGAGTTCATTAACTATATTAAACATTTAATGTATAAAATTTTAACACGTCATTTAAAATACACAATTTAATAAATATATATTTTTTTTTATCAAATCCTAACCACCGACTCTAAGAGAGTCAGAGCCGAGAAAGACTTATAAGCGCGCGCACAGACATCCGAAGCTATCCGATGTGGGATTGTCCAATCCCCCGACACCCCCGCGTGATTACCATTACGGCAGGATCTCTGGCCCAAAGTGTGAGATTTCAGCCTAACACCGATCGCTTCCTTTGAAAGGTTACGATTGTTTTGATCAAATTTTAACCACCGACTCTAACAAAGTCAAGGCCAAGGGCCAAGAAAGACTTATAAATACACACACACACGAAGCTATCCGCCGTAAGATAGCTCAAACAAATTTAAAGAACACAATTTAATTCATATATGTTTGGGGGTGCGTTAAGTTGACAGTTCATGTGTCTTACATGTATAGCCAGAGAATTCATTAACATGAAAAAGATGTGTATCCACTAATAAGTACTGACAAAAAAAAACTAGTACGCATTGAAAAAGGAGATGGTTGGTACATTTTGTGGCCTAGACTCGTAACATATCTCTCTCTCTCTCTGAATGCTCGAATGTAACGATGGATGATGGATCTAGGGACAGGCTGGATGACAGGGTTGGAGTCAGAAATTTGTTTTTGGGTGAGTATTAGACATTTTAATAACGTTTTAATTTTTTCTCTCACAATCTACAAAAATAAGATAATACATTTTATTTTTTGATTATGCTACATTTAATACTTTAAAATTTGTTTAAAGACAAAAAACCAAAAATAGGTAAGCATAGTTAAATGACTTAAATGAAAAAAATTTGATTGCCTTATTTATCATTCAATAATTGTATAACATCTACTTTATCCTTTTTAAAATGGCTTAAGAGAATTTTTTTTATTTTTTTATTTATCTTTCAAAAATTTTATAATGTCTACTTTATCTTTTTTTGAGGAATTTTTTATATTTTTAATTAGTTGCATTAATTCAACTAATAAATTCATTGTTTGACTTTTGATTATCTTCTTTCTAAATAATACAAATTTGATCCAAATCTGATTTGAACAATGTGATTTGAATTCAATTCAATTGTCCAACAAATTTTATTTTCACAGTGCATATATGAATCCGTTAAAAGAGATATTTGTTCTGATCTAAATAAATTGATTAGAGACGATTTTAATATTTAACACATAGATTTCTCTTCAATTTTATTAAATAATCACCAAATTACATCATATATTTGTAGGTACGTAGTACATATTTAAATTTATTAAAAAATAAATACTTGAATAGATCTAATAATCTATATATTATTTGTAAATGTCAATGCTTGTCAAAAAAAGATAAAAAAGACAATAATAATTTATTGTAATAATTTCATATTGGTCCAACAAATCAATAGTTATTCAACTATTAATCACTTACTGAAGTTAAACATTACAGCTTTTAAATGTAATGTAATTCAGTTTATACAACCTAAAAATACGAGAAAAATTTTGAGCATAACAATTATTCCATATCAGCACTGCCACTTTGCATAACCGTCCACTAACAAGAGAACAAGTGCACAAATGAGTCCTATAAAGTTTAATAACCATCATGTAATATATGAAAATTGATCCAATTTATCTATTTTATTTTTAAAGTAAAAATAGTTGGTGTGCAACTCTGGCGTACACCAACTAGTATTTCTAAAAGAAAATAGTTTCTCCAACAAACACACTTCCTAATCTCCCTTGTTCAATTGGAAGGACGAGCTTTGATTTTGGCTATAAGCACCTTAGCAAACTCAATGAGCTTATCAGTTTCAGGTATAACATCCTTGACAGCAGCATCAGAGCAAAAACTCTCAGCCCATTTGCACAAATTAGGTGTCTTGGCTTCATCAAGCAGTTTCAAATTGTGCACCTTCTCGATCACCCTAAGACATGGCAAGAAGCACCCAAGTGCAATGTCGAGATACCCAATACGTTCTCCCCCAAAGAAATTGCCGTCTTTGTTGCATTTGGGGAATGCATCTTCCAAGAGCTCCAATCCTGTAGCCACTTGCTGTAGTGTCTCTTTCTTCACTTCGTCTCCCTCAGCAGTAAGTACTATTACTCTCACAGATGGGAACCACTGCACAAGTCATTTGGATCACATCCGTAAACCACATAAAACATACAATTAAGGATTAAAAAAAAATTTCATTTCTTTTCAGTTGTTTCAGCCAAAACATTCCAAGGAAAACCAAAAACGTAGTAGTGGAGGAAAAACCATGTTTTGGAATCAAAATTTTTTTTTTCCTATTTCCATTTTGTATTCAAAATATTCTTGAAACGTTTTTTCAAACTATTTGTTGTTTGTGGTATTTCAAATATAATAAAATTACTTGTTGAAAATTTTGATTTGAAACATGTAGTTTAAAACAAAACAACAATAGTTAATAACGAAACAGTTATAGATACAAAATAGTAACAGATACGAATAAAACAGTAACACAATAAATTTATAATTTAAACAATAGATAAACTAACCCGTTTATAGAACATGAACTGTTATTGAACTTTAAATAGATTAAGACTAGTGTTTAACACTATGTACTTGAGACAGATTTCGCTCCCACACACATGATGTTTATGGAAATCAAAGTGTTTGCTTTCTAGGATATAATTATATTTACCCGAATAGAAGTAGCATTTCGATCTACTCATCCAACTAACCAGAAATTATATTGTGTACTCTCCAAATACAGACTACTAATGATGTATGAGATTGCCTTAATGATTACAAATTTATTTTTTTATATGCAAAATAATTATATGGCTGAACTATTTATAGGGAGAATGGTAATTAATGTGGACGTCACCATATGGAATGGATGCGCCCAGCAGAGACATGTAGCCAGAAGACATCATTGAGTAACTGTTCATGTATGAACAAACACGACTAAAATTTGGAATTGGAGGGAATATTAAATTGAACCAGTCCAAATTTTAAATTCAACGGGTACCAAAATTAAATTTAGAATAAGAAATTTACGCCTAATTCGTTAAACGAATTTTTTTCAAAAAGATAAGATTTGATCCAAATCACAACAACACCTGAGCCCGACCAATCGTGACGAGATGGGCGACAGTTGTGTGTGGTTTAATCAATGGTATGTAGATGTTCATTCCGCTCATAAAATTATAATAACACTTGGGGCCAATCCCGTAAAACAAACTTAGCCTATATATATCCATGTAGAACTTCTTCCTAACCAATGTGGATTGATGTCAAATTTCACATTGTACGACCTCTATTTTTACATTTCAAGAGAGTCACTTTAAAACCTATTTTCTAATTCATTTCTTATTTGATTTGAGCAAACAAATATACTACATTATTCTACCCACGTAGTAGAACATGAACCCATGAAAGTTTACTCGAAACAATAAGTGGATCTCACTTTAATTTAGGTTCAAAGTCGACCAAAAGTCAATTTTAGTCCAACACTATTTTGATCATTGCTTACAAAGCAGTTATCATGTCCGAAACTCATAAGTTGGCCTAAACTCAGCATAATCAACTCTAACAAACTAACACCATCAAAGTAATCAAAACCCACAAAATTTTAGTTACAAGAAACAATTTCTGTCTAATGTTCTTTTGAAGACAAGAACACTGCCGATATTTTTAGGATGACTACTTCAAATTTTATCAAACAATATACTATCTTGACCAAAATAACTAAGTTTGAACCCAAAATCTTCTAACTGCAAATTACATCCCAATTTAAATGAAAATCCATACATATCCAAACCTTGTAGTGAACTATATTCGTATACATGTGTGTGTGTGTGTGAGAGAGAGAGAGAGAGAGAGAGAGAGAGACATAAGATTGCACAAATCAAAGTATAAGTTGTACTCACAAATAAAAAATTCACAATTTCGATAAGTAGAAACAGACAGACGCACCTTATCGTCGAGGTAAGCTGCCCAAAATCGAGCAATGGCACGATCATAGGGATCTGAAGGAAGAATCGAAGGACCACAGGTCCAAACCTCGTCGATGTACTGGACAATGACTAGCGATTCACATATTGGCTTATCAGCATGAATCAGAACTGGGATTTTCTTGTAAATAGGATTGGATTTGAGAAGAAGCTCGCTCTTCACAACCAGATTCTGTTCGAGTAACTCGTAGTCCACGGACTTGATGTTGAGTGCTATTACAGCTCGCATCACGAATGGGCTCCCCGTTGAACCCAGAACCTTGACTTCAGTTGTCGACATGATCGAACCTTCAAATGCAGCAACAGTGTTGTGCTTGAAAAAATGTCAAAACTAAAACTATGAACTAGAGATAGTTCTTGTTTATGCCTCTCCCTGTGTGGATGAGCATGTAAATAGACGATGGATTCAGATTTGATGGGCTGACAATTGAGTGATTGGCACTCTTTTCATTTGTCTATTCTTTTTTTTTTTGTTTTTTTCAACGGTCAGCACGGGCGGCGTAAAAAAAACAACGTTTTGAGTAAGCACTGATTATTTTTACCAAGTTGAATTTTATTTTTTTTATCTTCTTTGTTATTGATAAAAATATAATAATGTATTTATATTTAATTATATCTTATTTAATTCTTAAAAATTTATTAAACTTAAAAGACTAAAATTGATGAGCATATATAGTAGACACAAATGACAAAAAAAAGAGTCTAATTATATTTATAATTAGAGGTAACTCGTACTTAAATGGACAATAAAAATTTAATAGGGATATTAGTGACCGTCGAATGAATTTATTTAAAACTGTCGAAATAACTTATTGAAATTTCTCGTATTTTTTATTTAAGTCTATTTGACAGTTTCAAATAAACTTATCCAACGGTCACTGACGTCTCTTTCAAAATCATTCACATTAAATTTTAATCTTCTCTCCTCACTCTTTCTCTTAGTTGGTTTATGTTGTATCGTGCCTTCAGGTATGAATTACCCCTAATTTTTTTACAAAACAAAGGCTAATCAAAACTATTTAGATTTGACTCTGATGAATTTTTATATGTTAAAAGTCTTGTATTAATTTTATTATTATTTATATTCACAATCATGATATCGCTTGTCTATTTATCATCTATTTGATTACACAATAACATGTGTTCTCTATTATGTTGGTGATAATTTTATTAAAATAAATATCAAAATTACAAGTAAACTCATGAATATATCATGTCTTTTTTGGTCTTAACTAAAAAATATGATGGACACAATTTAATATATTAAAAAAAATACCTAAAATATGTAGAGGTGATTTTAGAAGAAAAAAATATTGATGGTGAGCATGTGCCCCCGAGCATAAGGTTAAGGTGGCTTCACCCTTGATAGTCTGACATATTTGAGTCGATTAATCCTCTTCCACACCGAGACTAGCGTAGCCTCAAGAAATTTTTAAAATTTGAATTTAGTACGTCTAAATTTATACTTTGTCATTTTTACCACTTGTGGTTGATTGACACCCTTTTCATTACACTTTCATATAATTTTTAGTGAATCATAGATTATCTACTATTAATACACATAAAACTCAGTATTTATTATTGGGTCATTCATATATCTATACGATAGATGATTTATTATTGAATTAAATTAATATATATATATAATAGATAGAATTTCAATTTATACTGGAGTGGATGAAGTTGAGACGGCCAAACCGTCTAAATTTGAAGAAAATTATCAATGCTTGGTAGAGAACACGATTGTCATGTATTGCTTATAATTAATGAAAAAAAGAAACACAATTTGTTTTCTTAGACATATACAAAAATGCATAACTTTTTATATATGTATTTTTTAATAACGTACAATATATACGGAAAAAAAGAATCAAGAGATAGTCTTATACCTCGTTTCAATTGTCCATAAAGGAACAATTTTAAAATTTTATGTCAATTCAAGTAGATAAAGTCCTAAATGTTTGAAAACTTTTAAATGCATTCAAACTTTGACAGTCCTGCTATCTAAAATACACCAAACAATTATCAATAAAATGATAAATCATTTGTGGACTCTGTGAATCTTACTGTTTTAATAACTTCAATTGATCACCACATTTAATAATTATCATGTTAAAATAATACAATTTGTTAATCTTACATAATATTTTGTTATTCATCGTGTAACAAGTTTATTTAATATTAATAACAAAAAGAAAGAAAGAATAGCTTGTTAAACAAGCCAAAATTNATGATATGTCGTGTAACAAGTCTATTTAATATTAATAACAAAAAGAAAGAAAGAATAGCTTGTTAAACAAGCCAAAATTGATAATATTTTATAACAAAGAATTAGCTGTGGTAATATTAATAACAATGACCTAATACAATTGTTACTCTCAATATTTTACCCGGATTAGCTTGCCAAACAAGTTAGAAGTGGTAATATTAATAACAAAGAAACCGCATTAGTTTAGCGGTAACTCAACTACCTTGATAAAATTTTTATGAGAAATAGGTTAAGAGTTCGAAATATCCCACGAAGTGTAACTTTTAAGGGTTACCGCCCATAAATTTATCTCCTAGTGTGGAGAGGTGGTTTTGCACAATGTCTAGTTTTAATTTATTGACTTAAATACGACACGAAAATGTTATATTACGATACAATTGAGAGCTATATAACGAGTATTAATAGATGAAATTTTTTTTAGATCATAAATATTAAATATTTAAACTTGAAAGATATAAATAATTAACCCTAAAATTTTTAACGAAAAAATGGACAGAATTAATCCCAAGTGTATATTAATACAAATTTATATTTTTCAAAGTGTAAATTAAAATTTTAAAATTTTGAAGGCATAAATTGAGATTTGAGTGATCTTTTTGGATGTAAGTTGAAATTAACCCCTAAATTGAGAAAGATCTGTATCAACTAGTAAGTCTCGAAAGAGGAGATGATTGGTACCTTTTGTGGCCGAGACCCACAACATGTCGAGACTTAACAATGTTACATTCTGTGGCTGAAACTCGTAAGGTGCAAGAAGAAAGAATTGAGCGAGAAGAAAGTATTGAACCGTTGTTGTAACCTCCTCCTTCTTCTTTAAACAATACAACACATGAGCAAGAGACTCCATTGACAATAGACTAACCTAACTATTCAGCTTGACAAACCACTCACCTGTCTCTTAAAAAGCCGTTCTGTTCCCCTCTGATCTGATTGAGAAGAATGATTCAATCTGCCCAGCATCAGAAATTTTGAAACTTTCTGAATCCAGCTCTCATTATCAGAATAGAACATAAACAATCTTTCAACCCACCTCATTCATATGGAACATGAATGATGGAATCTATATACGTGTGCATATATACATATCATAGCTATAAACAATGTAAACTTGGAATAAACTGCTAACAACTGAATTTTCAAGTTCATGTATAGCTAATGGTAATCGCTTCTGGTAATAAGAATGTGACAGGATCGCATTTAATCCGCATTTCATTTGGCTGAACCAAATTGGGTCATCCATAACTCCAACTTCGGTAATTCATTTTTCCTTGTAAAGGGTTGTTTCTCATTCCATAATATTTTGCAACACATCTGTTGGCATTCTTGGCCTCGGGTTAATTGTGCTCAATTAACGATTTCATCTGCTTTCGCATTGAGCTACTCCACATCTGCAACACCTGAATTCTAGGGGAAAAACAAACCAATAGTTAAAGCAAGTTTCCGGTACCTATTCTACCACCTTTGTTAAGTTTATCGTGATGTTAACTGTTTTTGTAATGTCATAGTGTCTTACCGAGCATAAACATATATATATGTAACATACAAGTTTTCCTATTTAATCATCACCTAAAAATAAAAAATCAGAGAACCATCTGTGCACCAGAAGGAGCGATAGAATTTACCATTGAAAAAAACTTTGTGCTACTTTCCAGGTAACCGCTCAATATGAGCCATGTTCATTGCTCCATCTGTTTTCCCCATTGTGCTACGAAAACAAATGAAGTGATGTAATAACACATGCCAATTACAGTGTAAGCGCTTCATGAATACTGAAATTAGTACAAAAAGGAAAGCGAGAAGATTGCAATAGAGGGAAAAAAATCTGTTGCATTTTTCTGCACACTTTTTTTTCGAAGTGGATGCACATGTCAATCTAGGCTCCTTTTTTTCAACTATTTACAGATGTTTTCAAGTGAAGCTATAAACATGCCGTTCCCAATGTTCTGCCCATAACTTTTTTCAATTGACTCATAGTCCACAAGGTTTATTATTCTTCCTTGGGAAAAAAGTTGAACAAGTTTTTCTAACTTTGTTGTGATGATCTTAAACCCTCTTCCCCAATTATGTCCAGTGATGAAGAAACTATCAGTCAATACAATCACCAAGCTTGCATTTGTAGGTAAGAATAAGTTTGGAGAGTCTTGGTAATTAACTTACTGTAGTCCCAGCATGGATCAAGGAAATATTTGTTCAGTTGACGGTCTTTTATGTTTCTTGAAGTTCAAGCAACTCTGATATAGAAATAAAGATACATTGGTGAGTGCAATTTTCTTTTTTTCACTTAACTGATCCAAACTCACAAAGAAGAAAAAAGACCAAATTGGCCAAATAACTGCATAAATAGATCACTGAGCCTTTGAATCTTGCTAAATTATGCAAGAAAATAACTGAAGCACTAAATAAATAATATGTGCACGTAAACAATCTCGATATGAGACGGTCCTTAGTTCAAATCATCCAACACAAGCATCAGATGCAGACATATGGAAAGGCAAGATAAAACCCTGGGTATAAAAGAAGAAGATCAATAAATTTCTCAAGCTGAACAGAAGATGAGCTCTCTGAGCCTTCAAATGAAACTTTCCAGCAAGATGGCATACTAAATCTGGAGCTCCTTTATTCATTTCTTGCAATTCATCTTGATGGTTAAAGGAGTACGTCAAACAGCACAAGGAATGTAGTTCTGACAATCCATGTTGATTTCCCACTGCTCTTCAAGAGCTTCTGGGTACGACACTCAAACAAGTTGCATCAAATACTAGTTTATTTTCATTTATTCCTTCATAATATATTCCATTTTGTCCGAGTTTTTGTTCTTACTCAATAAGGGATTCCACTATGGTCATGTACCCAAGAACAATTATATCATGTACTTCAAAAACAATGTTGATTTCTTGTCAATATAGAGAAAAAAATGTACCATAGAAGACGAGTATGAGAACCAAACATATTGAGGGACAAAGCGTAACCTAAAAAGAGTTGCCCAACTTTCCATAAAAAATCATCCTTTAAATGTGTAGCTTTAAGACAATCTAGTAGGATGGCATTCACTGGTATAATATATGTCATCATAAATAGCTGTTAATCAACTAATGACCACTTCTGACCCAAAAAAAAAAAACTAATGACCACATGTAGAGCATAAAAACTTCAAGAAAATAAAAATGGAGACCATTGAGTATAAAAAGAGGAAAAGGAGGAGTTACCTTGGTTTTAGGATGCTACGTCCGTTACTACGAGGATTTCAACTTCGGAGTGCAATTAAAGAAAACTGAAACTTTCTGCCCACAAATATCTCATCACATGTTGAAATTATAGTCATCAGTTCCCATTATTGGTCCATCCACGAGACACTTCTCTATTGCTTCATCACAAAGCTCAAGAGTCATATCGGTGTTCCCTTCGTCAAAGGTCATATCAATGAAAATGTAATATAATTCTCTATCAGCAATCAAGCCCTCATCCCTCATCTCTTTGAACAGATTCTTTGCCTCTAAATGCTTCTTCCTCTTAATAAAACCCTTGATGAGCACATTGTAGGTATCAGCTGTGAGATTAAACCCTTTCTCTAACATTTCTTTATGCAAAAACCATGCCTCCTTCATATTCCTTGCTTTACAATGCCCTTTTATTAGTATATTATAGGTGTTGCCATTGGGCAACACTCCTTGACCACACATCCCTTTGTAAATCTCTGTTGTTGCACGCATGTTATTTCTGATGCAGTACTGCTTCATGAGAGAATTGTAGGAGGTGGCATTAGGCATTATTCCCTTCTCCAACATCCATTTTAGGAGTCTCTCTCCACCTTCTAGCATCCCTAACACACAAAACCCATTCATCAGAACGTTGAACGTAACAACAGTTGGTTGAAGCCCTCTATCTAACATCTCACGGAGAAGTTCATGTGCCTTGACCATCTCTCCATATTTACAATAAGCATCCATTAAAGTAGTGTAAGTATAAGTATCGGGATTGATCCGTGCCATCTCCATATCTTCCACTAGCTTTACAGCCTGCACGATGTTTCCTGTTTTGCAAAGACCATTAACAAGTGAATTGTAAGTATAAATATTTAACTGAAGACCCTTTTGACACACGTCATGAAGAAGCTCATTTGCAGTATCTAGCTCTCCCTGTTTACAAAGTCCATCGGCCAGTGCAGTGTAAGTGACAACATTTGGAGTCAACCCTCTCTGAACCATCTCGTTGTGAAGAGAAAAGGCCACTTTTATCTCACCTGCTTTGCAATAGCCATCGATCAGTGCTGTATATGTAACTTCATCTGGTTCCAACCCTCTGTTAAGCATTTCCTGGAAGAGCTTATCTGCTTCTGCAATGTTTCCAGTTTGACAAAGTCCACAAACAAGAGTGGTAAATGTTATAAAATCAGGACTTATTTCCTGACCCCGCATTTCATCAAACAGCCTGTATGCAGCCGTAGAATTCCCAACTTTATAAAAACCATCAATGAGAGTTGTGTAAACTACATTATCAGGAACTATTCCCTGACAGATCATCTCCCTTAACACCCTCTCAGCATCCAATACTTTACCACTCTTACACAAAAGAAGGATTATGCTGTTGAAAGTAAATGCATTTGGGTTCAATCCTCTTACTTGCATTTCTTCTATAACCTTCAACACTACTTGAAGTTCCCCAGATTGACAATAACCATTAATTAGAGTGCTGTAACTTATAACATCAGGAACACAGCCCCGCAGCTCCATTTGCAAAAGCAGAGGATGAGCTTCTTTCACTTTCCCTCTTTGACAAAGAGAGTGCATAATTATATTATATGATGCAGTATTCCAACAAACTCCCACTTCAGAAAATTCACCAAAAACTTTCAACAGCTTCTTGAGCTCATCAAGATTATTTGACAGACGCGAGAGAAATAAGTTACAGGAATCACAAGATAAAACCAACCCATAGTTCAACAGCTTATCAAAAAGTTTTCTCGCTTCACCAAGAATCCCAACTTCAATAAGGACTTGGAAGAAAATATCAAACACATAAGGACTAGACCCCCAATCCTTATAGGTGTATATCAAATTTTCAAGGAAATGAGCAAATGAAAGACTAATATCTAGGCTGGGTTTTCTCCAAAAATCACGAATGAGTCCATGAGCCATCTTTGGATCCTTTTCAGCAGCCGCGATTTGAATAACAATACAACGGGCTTCTAGAGATGGGTCCCTGTGCAAACACGACCATTCAAAGAAATCCAAAACCAGTTTGTAATCATTTTTTATGTCCATCAGAACCCAAATGAGGTGGTTAGGCCTGAATCTGGATTCAAAGGGCTTCAGAATGCAGCGAAGGGGCTCAGAGCGGCGTTGCTTAATGGCAGTGGAGATGTTATAGACAAGCTCAGAGTCTCTAATGCTAGGTTTCTTTGGTGAATAATCAGGAAAGGGTCTGGCACTGTTTGAGCCAAACGAGGACAGCTTTCTAACACAATTATTTTCAAGAAACAACAAGGCTGGAAGAAAATTTGTGGCAGAACCCAACCGTAGATGAAAAGAGAAGACTTGATAACAATGGGCCGAAAAGATGATGGCACACCTCTTCATGTCTGTGAGAAAGACCCATCAAAGAGATTTTGAGAGTCCATGTTCGACAACGCAGGGGCTCTCCTCCATATAGAAGAATGAAAGGATGGAGGCTTCTGCATCACCCCAGCACCTGTGCACTGTAAAGCGTAAAGTAAAGAATCTGCGTACATATGTTTATCAAACAAAGTAGCTTATGTCCATATGCAGCTGATATATTACCAGAATGATAAATCAATGAATTCTCTTTCATTAGGATTAATGTAACTAATACACATATTTGAACATCAACCAATTGTTCTCATTCACCAAAAAATAACTCTTTCAGCAGTAATTAGTTGAAAAGATTACAGATCAAAAGGCCAAAGCCAATATCTCATCATGACATGTCATTAACTCTTGCAACTAAGCTTGGTTTATTGGTGCGCGTGACAATGACAACCCTCATTGGAAATGTACCCCTAATAAACTTGACTTCATCAAATGCAGATAATAATTGTCATGGCTGTTTTCAATCAATTAACCACGTATTATGCAAGTATAATCTGTGCAAAATGATTTCAACATATGATTCTTTGAGACTTTCATTTGTCAATATTTATATGGCCTCTCTACTCACTTGATGATACAAGCATAGAATTATATATGAGTGATAGATGCTTGGCTATAATTTCCTGTGTTCAATCAGAAGACGAAGTTCTTGTTCAATAAAGTTTTAGCAAATCTAACCACATCTAGAAAAAAATTTGCTATTATACCATAAGGTTGGCATATAGATTAAAACATGGATAGACCATATCAGTTTAACGGAATTGGATTCACACTCATTTGTGGCCATGAGGCACTCACCATGTACTCCTGGGCATCCTGCCAAACTATCTATAAGCTAATATCTTGTAACTGGGTATAACTCTACAAGAGAAGTCCACTGGCATCTTCCAGAAAGCAGCTATCCACATCAAATTCAATGAGCATCTATTCATAGGTCGAGAAAATGAACTAAACTTACTTCAACCAGCATTATCAGTACTTTACTTAATGCGAATCTTCAAGAAACAGATGTCTGCATTCTGAGATTCCAGAGAAGAATCAAAGTGGGAACTTTAGCAACTGATAATGATGAAACAATAGTTGCAAAAGCTATGATAGAAGGTCAAATGTGTAGTTCCCAGATTAATCCAACCCATAACGGAAATGACACCTGGTTCATCAATTGAACTTTAATCATATTTGAATCTCCAACCAATGCACATACCCACAGCTAGCTTGCTTATCATTTATCTATATCCGACTAGTTGGTTTTTGAAAATTTTACAAGCTGAGCTTCTAATGATTTTCGATTGGATCAATAAAAACTATGCCAGACATCAGGAATTCACTCTATAAAACAATTATACCCAATAACTATAACTCATATCTCCGAAATTTTGGGGAACAAAAAAAACCCTTTTCGTTATAACAACTTAAACGCTGATAAATGCTTGCNAATAAAAACTATGCCAGACATCAGGAATTCACTCTATAAAACAATTATACCCAATAACTATAACTCATATCTCCGAAATTCTGGGGAACAAAAAAAACCCTTTTCGTTATAACAACTTAAACGCTGATAAATGCTTGCCCAGTGATTCAATTCCATTAAACCAACTTGTTTCGCGCATTGTATCGAACATATGCAGGGCATTCTCAATCTAACACATTGAGCACTTAAAATTAAACAATGTCTAAAGGGACAACAAACATTTTGGATAAAACAGCTACTAAAGTCATTTTATATTATCCAATAATTTTCTTTCGATCATGAAACCAACTGTTGGGATGCAATAATCTGTCAGAAGAGCAAAACCCATTATTTGAGAAAGAAAAACGAAAGCCAATAACCATAGGGAATGAGCATTACCCCTAAATGGCGATCCATCAATGGCTAAAAATAGGAAAAAAGTAGAAAACTTTGAACAGTTACTTCAGGAAGACGACCCAGAAAAATAGGATTGACAATGCGGAGCTCAAACCTCTACCGAACTAGTTTCTTTTCTGGGAGCTTGGCATAGCGTAACGGGTCAGGTTTGCCCTTTTGGAGAAAATTACACTTTGTCCCCTAAACTATGACCCTTTTTCACTTTCCCTCAACTTTCATTTTTTTTTACATTACACCCTAAACAATGTGATTAGTTTCATATTGTTCCAATTATTAATATTCGTTACAACATAAATTTATTCCATTTCTTCCCTTGAACCATAGTTTTCAAAATCAACAAAAACATGAGGTCAGTGGTTCAATCGTTGAGTTACTAGTCAGATCAAGAATATAATAAATAAATAAATAATCATAATAAATAGACTAAAAATTTATAATAATTATAAAAATAGCATCAAAAAAGTTAAGTAGAGAGCAATGCCTAATCTGCTCAAGCTCAACCCCAGCCATAAGCAAAATTAAAAAACTTACCCTAATTTGCTGAATTGATCTGTTCTTAATTAATTGCATAATTTTTTAAATAGAGCCTTATACAATCATAATTCATAATCTTAGGTAGCAATACAAGACAACTCCAAGGCAGAGACGCAGAGCAGTGGTGGGTGCCTGGGTGGGAATGGCTTGAAACTATTTAGGGCAAAATGGCAAAAAGGATAAAAGCTCACCCTTTTATAGCAATTGAATTGAACCGACCGGTTTGCTTAAACTAGTTCGGATTTAACGGTTCAGCACGTTTTCATCTGATTCAGTGGGTTTACTTTGGTTCAAAAAATNAGGTGCCTGGGTGGGAATGGCTTGAAACTATTTAGGGCAAAATGACAAAAAGGGTAAAAGCTCACCCTTTTATAGCAATTGAATTGAACCGACCGGTTTGCTTAAACTAGTCCGGGTTTAACGGTTCAGCACGTTTTCATCTGATTCAGTGGGTTTACTTTGGTTCAAAAAATATAGCGGATGTATGCAATTGAAATAATGTGCTTATTTCATTAGACTTTATGTCCACTTTCTGAAGTATTCAAATCTTGATAGACATTTATTCGATATTACATGAGCAACAACAAAGTTAACTTGATAAATTGATTGTTCTTCTCGAAAAGAAAAGGGAAAAAAATTCAGATCTTAATAGCAGTGATAAAAACCTCTTAGCAATAACGGAAAATAATATTGCATCTGGTGCAACAAATTCCTCGGTTTTGCGTCAGAATTCCTCTCTGGTGGTTCTCAGAAAGAACAGATTAAGGGAATTTGGAGATACATTATGGTCATTAAAGGTGGGTGTAAGTTCTGGTTAGGGTACTGGAAAGCTTATTCTCATAGTTCCAGAATCTATTATGTGTATGGTTAGGTGCAACAATCATGATTGTTGGTTATCTAGAAGGGAATAAAGTGAAAGAGCCACTGCTAAATGCACTTTTTCTTTCAAGTAAGTGGCTAAATATGCTTCTCCCATTGCTTATTCTGAGTGAGTGGGCACTGGGCTGTGAGCACTAATCTACATGGTTTTAAAAACAGGTCTATTTCTAACTGCAAAACTACAATCAGTGCCTTTTCAGGGTAGGTGGCGCTATCCACGGAATAAAAAAATTATTTGAACTCACCAATATCAATACTAAACCTCATGAATGGTTTGAGTTCAAGTTAATGGTTCATGAACCGACAATTTCTAGATTTGCAATGCAGTTATGAGGATCATGTTAGCCATAAGCTGGAAGTACAACCCAAATTTAATGAACTAAGGACAGAACTGAAGCAGTTTTAGCATGAAGCAAGGCAGTGTGTTCTACTATTCCCATACCACTGAAAGAAAACTCTCTTCCAATCCAGTCTTCAATTCTTCAATTTGAGGAAGGAGACATGCCCAAGATAAGTTACATCAAATCCAGTGCTCTAATTAGGATCAAGGACCCAATCGAATAATATTCTGCTTTAACAGTCGTAGTTTAGACCAGAGGAGGCGCTTTAAATATCATGCCAGAAACATCAACTTACCTGCAACACCTTAGTTTTTTAAGTTTCTGGAATTTAACCTTATGCACATACAAATCAGAGATAATTTTTACCCTTTTTACACCAAGTCAAAGTTAAAATAAGAAGAGGCTGTAGATCATTAGAAACTTGTACCCTCAAAATCTGAGTAATCTAGGAGACAGTGATGCACTTTTATCACAATGTTCTACATTAGGATTATGCTGGGAAGATTTGATTCTCTCAAACTTTTCTGATCTCTTTCAGCAGCATAAAGGGCGCTTCAGGATCAAACTCTCTAACAGCATATATTCATCCCTCTGAAAATCATGCATTTACTAAAACCTGTTTTGAAATTGACCCAAAAATCTTGCAGTTTGTGCATTATAAAAGTTCAAAGAGTAAGTCATAAGAGAGAGTTACAAATCCAACACATCGAATGGTTTAGAAATCTGAGAACCCAAAAGCTAGCCAGCCTAACACCACAAGTACCAAAACAAGTCCTTATAACACAAAAGCACATGCTTCCTTCCCCCAACTCTCTCACTCCCAAATGGAAGACTCACCACCTAGCTAGCTGCACATCAATATAAATAGCACCCCACTTTCACATCTCTCTCTCTCTCGCCACAGTGATAAACATGAAGCTCAGCCATTCTTCCATCACTCATCTATCCTTAGTGCTCATCATAGTTCTGCCTTCCTTGATCTCATGCCAAACATGCCAGAAAGCCTGTGGCAATCAATCAATCAAATATCCATTTGGCACTGGACCGGGATGTGGCGATCCACGTTTCCAATCTTACATAACTTGCAGCCAGCAACAACTTACGTTTACCACACACACTGGCTGCTACCCCATCACCTCCATAGACTACCACACACAAGTCATATACATCACTGATCCCTCCATGTCAACCTGCTATTGCACACAGCCAAGCAAAGGCTTTGGCCTCGATTGGAACGCTCCCTTTAGTTTCCATGACAATACTGTGTTTGCTCTACTCGACTGCTCAACTAGTTCTTCACCAATATACAAATCTGGCGGTGGAACCAACTCCACCTTCCCTTTGTGTGATGCTCAGGGAGCACCCATTTGCAGCCTTCTCTACTCTTGCCAAGCAATTAGCAGACTCAACATTCCAATCTCTACGTGTTGTGTTTACACACCTGTAGACCTTGGTCCTTCGTTCAAAATGGATTTGCAGAAGTTGCAGTGCACTTCATATTCGGGCATATACAGCTTCGATGGGCAGGAATATAATCCAGAGAGTTGGCAATATGGAGTGGCTATCAAGTATAAGTTCAATTTTGACAATGATTATCCCACAACTTGTGCTAATTGTGAGAGGAGTAATGGAGTTTGTGGGTATAATGGACAGTACAATTCATTTGCCTGCAACTGTCCTAGTGGATTAAACACAACAACAGATTGTTTCTACGGGGCGTCTTGGAACAATGGTTTCCGGCAACTCCCATGGCAGATAGGTACTCAAATATATTCTAATCTCAGTTTTGTTTTCTAAATCACTTTGCTTTAATGCTTGATGTTCTAAAGTAGAATGATATTCTTGTTACAGGGACTTCTTTGATCTGTTCTTTGGCATGGCTTCTCATATTGGTCTTGGTGTAGAGTGCAAAGACCAATAGGCCCAATAAGAGCAGGGTAACCATTTACAATGCTAGAGTCTGACTTTTTTCTTGCTGGCATTCCAGTGTGAGGGGAGTTCATTTTTCCCTTGGGTTGCTGTAACTTGTGAATATTTTGGATTTCAAATAATGCTGAAAATCCACATTGTAAATGTTGAGTTTCCCTTTACTTTCTTCTTTTTAAGAATCAATGAAGCAGAGATGAAATTAAACCATCACTTAAGTACACAAAACTATTGCTTTTAAAGTAAATTTCAGATGGAAAAAATGTAAATGGTACAAGTTTCATGTAATGTACAGCAGCAACGTTATTCCATTATGACTTTGCATCACGGGTTCAAGTAACAAAAATAGTCTCTATGCACGCAAGGTAAGACAGACATATATCTCACCCCTACCCAAAACCCTTAGTAGCTTGTAGCAGTTCAGAATGTATGCACAGTAGTCTTGATCTCGGCAAAGCAGTATAGATTCAGGCCATGGACTCAAGGGTGACACTTTCATGCTTTTTATTTACACCCAAGAACTCATATACTTCATTGTCCCGAGCGTTTTAAACTGGCTGAATTCACCTCATTATCACATCTTGGCCATTCAAATTCATGTGGCAAATATGTGGGTCATCGGCTGAGTCGAATATGTGATCCAGATTGGAAATAGAGCTTTTAGAACTTGAGGAATCAAGGGCATTAAAAAACTGGATATGGTACTTCTAATGGAACAAGGTTCCTTCTTTTAAGCACTTCCACTATGAAAGAATCATATTCAATGGTAGTGTTCTTTGCTTTAGCCCAAATTCCTGGGGAAGCTCTGGACGGTGACCTAAAAGAATCATTCACACTCACTTTTCTGAAGGCTTTCTATATTTTTGTGTAGTGGTGGATTTAGTGGTAACATCATCTAAGAATAAGTATAAGATGCACAAGATTTTGGGCAATGAGAGGCCATACAGATGGATACATAAGATGTCCCGCTTAAACAGTAGTTTAAGAAAGGTAAGGTAAGTGACAGACAACCTTATCCCAACTTGAGAAAACTGATTCCAGAACTTGAGTTCAGAACACTTCGCTCGTATAACTATGAATTAATGCGATATATGGCTCAAGGTGGAGTCCATACAAAAGCAACCCTGAAGGCAGTGTGCAAAGGCGAACAGCCCCAATTTAGAGATCGATACTGTAACTTGATAAACAGAACNACTCGTATAACTATGAATTAATGCGATATATGGCTCAAGGTGGAGTCCATACAAAAGCAACCCTGAAGGCAGTGCAAAGGCGAACAGCCCCAATTTAGAGATCGATACTGTAACTTGATAAACAGAACACCGAGGATTGATAGAATAAGTATGGTCTCCAAGTTTTCCTTTGTAGCTCTATATTCCAGTTTATGAGCAAGATGCCAACATCACACGCGGCCCGGGCCAGACATGAGAGTGTGGTAGGGAAGTGACAGTTTCTCATACTGCACTAACTCCTCCTGAGCTTGCAAACACTCGGGGCAGTGTGCACACACACACACACACACACAAAGCTGAAAATGAAACTCAATCTGAGATCCAAAATGGAGCAAAATGAAGAATTAATAAATCGGAAAAAGGAAACAGAAGAGCCCGAATATATCTAATTTAATCAGACTATATACAAACTAACACTGCAAAACTTCTCCTCTTACTTTCTTCCACTTAAAACTTTCATTTGTAGCCAACAAGATGTCTGCCATCTTCATTATGTTAGTGGTCATCTCATGTTGCAGCAATGTGGTTTCCCTTGATTTTGCAATTTGGCCCACAGGCAGGTCATTTGTCTTGGAGACTGGTAGTGTGCAGTAATATAATCTTCGATGCATCCAAACTGGCAAAACTTCAAGTTGTGCAAATACTCCACCTGTCTCGAACTGTTGAACTGCTCTACCCACATCCCCATGCTCACATCCTCCATCTTGAACAACTGCACCATGAAAAAATAAGTCATCAGTTAAAACACAGCACTGTAGTTCAGCAATGTGCACACACAGGGCGAGAGGGAAGAGAGAGAGAGGGGGAGGGGGGTTGATCAAAGCAAGTTAGCATAACATACTCTCAACTTATGCTTCTCAAACTCAGATACAACGTATTGTGCAATGTCAGATGACACGATGTAACCAGGCCCATTTGCATAAGGTGGATAATCTTCTTCTGGCCATTCCTGCAACTCTCCAGACAAGGAAATGAAGGTGAGCACTTCTTCATATGTTCATGCTACCAAAAATTATGAAACAAGATAGCATTGAAGAACAGAGTAACTAATGAGATGTTAAGAATAGAATTTCTGTATTATACTGGAGCTAGAACTGCAAAAAGAAAAGAGAACAAAGTTGATAACTGGGTTTGTATGATCTACCGTACATCATTCACATAAAAAAGTAAAATTTTCATGCTATAACTCTACTTAAATGCCAACAGGCTGAAACCAGGCTCATATTGAGAAAGGAATCACANCTCAGATACAACGTATTGTGCAATGTCAGATGACACGATGTAACCAGGCCCATTTGCATAAGGTGGATAATCTTCTTCTGGCCATTCCTGCAACTCTCCAGACAAGGAAATGAAGGTGAGCACTTCTTCATATGTTCATGCTACCAAAAATTATGAAACAAGATAGCATTGAAGAACAGAGTAACTAATGAGATGTTAAGAATAGAATTTCTGTATTATACTGGAGCTAGAACTGCAAAAAGAAAAGAGAACAAAGTTGATAACTGGGTTTGTATGATCTACCGTACATCATTCACATAAAAAAGTAAAATTTTCATGCTATAACTCTACTTAAATGCCAACAGGCTGAAACCAGGCTCATATTGAGAAAGGAATCACAAGAATGTGAAACTTTTAATCCCTCACATAATCTAAAAGTAAAAATGCATTTATACTTTACGATCAAAATCCACATTTTCAACTCTCTCACTACATTAATAGCTTCATGTCAAACTGTATGCAACCGAAACAGGAGGTAAAATTCCCTGGGTGTTAACTCCAAAACCATCAAACTGTAATAACAATCAACTTGGTACCTGATGGATGAAAAAACAACAGTATTGAGCATCGAGAATCATCCCCATTAAAAGCAAATACAATTGGGATTTTACAAAGTCATATATTTCCTTCTAAATTGCTAAATTCCTAGATAGAATTAACTCAAAGTAAAACCAAAGCAAATACCAGGACAACAGTAATTATTTGTAATTTATAAGAAGTAAGAACATATGCACCAGCAGCTATTTCAATTCAAATTCAGAGGATAAAAAATCAGATTAGCATGTTAGCACAAAAAGGATATACACATTGATAAATTGTCTAAAAATTTTGAAACACGGTGGAGAAACTAAGAAAGTGTACCTCATATGTCACCGCCCATTTACCATTACGTAGGGGCTTGTGGTAGTAGTTCACATTTCCTACATACAGGTTTTCACCACTGCGAACTTTCTTTGCTTCCTTGATCACAGCATCAATCCTAACAAATGTGTCATCATCACACTTCATAATATACTTTGCACTGGCCGTGCGGACCTGTACAAATAACCCAAACATTTGGAAGATAAATACTCTATGGGACATAAAAACTATAAATTGCCAACTTGAAATCATATTCCACCACTCACCCCATACTCGCAGATTGCAACAGTTTTCAATACAACGAGGTCATAATTATCCAAGTAAGGCACTATAACAATATCACCAAAAAACTCGGCTTCTTTCATCAACTCCACATTTACTTCCTTTCTTCCATGCTGCAAAAATTTTAAATTTCAGAAACTGTAAGATTTCCTACTTAATGTCCAAGTTTATGAATTAACTCATGCGACTGGGACCAGTAATTACCAGTGCTACAAAAAATCGAGCAACAACATTTACAGATTTGATTAATCCATGCTGCAACCAGGATTTCCTGACTGCCATCCGCTCAGCAAAATGGTTGCCTGCAGAAAGGATGCCAATAAAAAGCTCCACAGGCCCATCGGCAAGAGGTGGAGCCTGCCACATGGTCGACATCTCAAGATGCCTCTGGGGAGCAAAACTTGGATGTGATGTGGGTAAGGAAGCAGCAAATAGTGAATGCACGTCCACATCCCCTTTTAGAGATAGTCCCGTGGCATCATCAAGAGTGAACCCCTGTAGACATCACAAGCATTTTCAGACTATCCACATGCATCACAACTGCACAATTCAGGAGATTTTACAAGGGAACTCACTGTCCGATAAGGAAAAGAGGTGACATGCCTCCCATCTACATTGACATGATAACCTTCCAAGCCAGCTCTTAAGGTAAGAACAAACAACTTGTCTTCTACAAAAGGGTATGGCCAGTCAACTGTGACCTTTCTTGTCCGCCCTATCAGCCTTCTTAACCACCAAGTGGTCTTTGATTCTTCTGAGTGGTTATCATCATCGCGAATCCACTTCTCACATTTCATCTGTCCATCAACTTCATAGAGCCCAAAGAATCAGAAAGGCAGACATCTACCCAATACAGTTTAAAAATATAGAGCTCAAGGTGAAAACAATACGCATACACATTTTATTAAACCAGTTTTTAAATCCTTTGAAGCAAATGATTACCCAAAAACACAATAATTTGGAAGAATGGAACATGTTCTAGGATTGAATGGCGGTCAGTTAACTATGTCTTTCCAATTTCATAAGTTTACAGCCTCAGTTATGACTTCAGATAATCCACATGGAGAGGGTATGCCAAATATTTCCAACTACAGTGATATGGCAACCCTACAATTACTTCCCAACCAAAAATATATCAGATAAACTATTATTAGGACAGCAGAAAATCTAGCAATATATTCTAGCTCCATATAATTTAAAAAACTAATGTTTAGCAGCAACAAGATGCAACTATCAAAATTAAACATCTTCAATATATAAACACATAGATAATAACATTTGTCACCCTCTTAGAACCACATTGAATTCACATACCAGCTTCTTCATCGGCCTTAGACTTCCACCCCTCACACCTCAAAGCCGACCCCCACTGCATCCGATAACACGTATTCTGCTCAATCACCGGCCTTTCACTCCAATCCCCCTTCAATCTTGGATTAAAATGCAGTATCCTAGGAGGCTCCTCCCCATCCACAGTCTTCAATCCCTGTAACTCCATCATAAACTGCGACACCATCACGCTCTCATTTTCATTTTTCACCAAAGATATCTTTGGATCTTTTTCTGGGTGTGCCCAACGTGGCTTCCCCACAACAGTAATATGTGACCCCAATGTCAACCCACAAGGAATCACCATTATTCCACCCCTCTCTTTAAATACACCCCCAAATAAAGAAACTGAATTTGGGCACCTTTGCGTCTCATTTTCCTTCTTATTTTCCAACTCAATTCTAACTTTCCCTGATTCGATTTCCTCCCATATTTTCTTTCCCACTTCAAAAGCATGTCTAGCCATTTTGTGAAGCTCTGAGAACTCATTTTCACTGACACTATTGAAAGCTTTTTCGTCGAAAACTAAACCCGAAATTTTCTTGAATTCTTTCATTTTCCTTTCGGGTGTTCGGGGAAATGTCCTCTGTGAAACCCTGAAGGGAACAATCGATTCCTCTTTTTCTGCAAATTTATCCTCCGAATCAACTCTAACTGGTTGAATGGTGAGAGACTCGGTGGTCTCGACCTCAACCGACCCCAACCCAAACTGGGTCTTCACAACTAGAGGGATTTCTAAGCTCATCAAAACCAGATACAAAAACAACACACCCATCAAGGCTTGAATCGATCTGAGTCGACTCACTGAAACCAATGACTCGAACTTCCCTCGCTTCATTGTACCAACGCAAAGAATCCAACTTTTTTTTTACAGTTTTTTACAAATAAACAATGAGGGGTTTCTCACCAGAATACAGAAGAACAGATCAAGGGTTGGCTTGAAATTCTTCAAATTTTCTATAAAAGAAACACTGAACAAGAATTGTACTACCGCAAAGAATTCATTTTTATTACAGGTTTTTACGAACAGAGAATGAAGGATTTTCTCGCTAGAATACAAAAGAACAGATCAAGGGTTGGTTTGAAATTCTTGAAATTTTCTATAAGGAAACCTTGAACAAGAATGTGAAAGCTGAAGGATATGTGGTTAGTTTATCAGTTCAAATACTCTGAAAACCTATAAATAATTGACGAATTTGTGAATAAAAAAAACACACACAACGCACACAATCTGAGGTGTAAACAAACAAATCATTGTTTCTGTTGCTGGGGGATGGCATGGGGTCCATTTGGAGTAAAACGACTTAATTCTTGCAAAACGACATCCTAACAACATGGGTCAATGAAATTTAGAAGTCTCATTGGATATGCTAGAATTCTAGATAAAAGGTTGATAATCGAACCGAATTTATTGAGTTCCTTTTTTAAATAAATTAAAAAAATTATTAAAGTATGACTTATTTGAAAAATGAGTCAAATCTGAACCGATCTCAAAACTAGCTGAACCCGATTAATTTTGCTATTTTACATATAAACAAGCTGAATCTTTTAAACTCATTTTTTAAACAAATTTATAAAATTATTTAAGTTTTGCCCGCTTGAAATACAAGTCGGACTTGAGTCGAGTCCTATCTGAGTAATTCAGCTCAACTATCAGTCTTATCTCGGATGATCAATAAAATTTTGTTGATTATTTTTTGAAGTGTCCGTCAAAAAAATTGGACACGTGGGTTCATAGAATCTACACCTCAAAGTCTTTAGGTTGGTCATAATCAACTTAGTTAGTCACATTTTAATAAGATTTTTGTGCGGACTTTTGATTAATTAATGGGTAAATTAGTGGGGCCATTTAGCTTTACAACTTAATGTGATTGGAGGTTCATTGGGGGGAAGATCAGGAGACCGTTGGAATAGGGTTCATAGTGATTTAATTTTGGCTTGACAGCTTGGAGGTTTATTAGGTAAGAGGAATAGACCGTTGGAAGCATCATTTTTAAGAGTGTGGGACCGGAGGGCGGACGGCACAATATTCCATGTAAAGGTGCAACTGGAACAACCACAGATTAAAGGATCAACTTAAACCTACCCTAAATTATAAAACTTTTAGCCCTGATACAAGGTAATTAATTCGAGTAATTTTAGGCTTAATTTGGATAGAGTCGGATTAACTGAATCAAGCTCGTAATTCGGATTTATAATTTGAATGTAATATTTATTTTAATCTCATGTTAAATCTGAATTATAAATTTACTTTGAGCCCAAATTTAATAATTCGATATAAGTTTGAATTGAACATCGTAAACCCGAAGTCTTAATCAACGTATAGCTCGAATTCATATTTTTCAACTCACACCAAACCCAAATTTTTAAAATTCANATTAGTGGGGCCATTTAGCTTTACAACTTAATGTGATTGGAGGTTCATTGGGGGGAAGATCAGGAGACCGTTGGAATAGGGTTCATAGTGATTTAATTTTGGCTTGACAGCTTGGAGGTTTATTAGGTAAGAGGAATAGACCGTTGGAAGCATCATTTTTAAGAGTGTGGGACCGGAGGGCGGACGGCACAATATTCCATGTAAAGGTGCAACTGGAACAACCACAGATTAAAGGATCAACTTAAACCTACCCTAAATTATAAAACTTTTAGCCCTGATACAAGGTAATTAATTCGAGTAATTTTAGGCTTAATTTGGATAGAGTCGGATTAACTGAATCAAGCTCGTAATTCGGATTTATAATTTGAATGTAATATTTATTTTAATCTCATGTTAAATCTGAATTATAAATTTACTTTGAGCCCAAATTTAATAATTCGATATAAGTTTGAATTGAACATCGTAAACCCGAAGTCTTAATCAACGTATAGCTCGAATTCATATTTTTCAACTCACACCAAACCCAAATTTTTAAAATTCAGAGAGAGAGAGAGAGAATATAACTTTATTAAAAATTTATTCGGTGAACATTGTCACATTAATATCATATCAGTAATTGAAAGAGGCAAAAGAGAATTAAAAATAATGAATGGAATAAAAAAACAAAAAGAGTAACACATTGACAATACGTGATGTAATAATTATTGACGATAATTCAAATAATTAATGCAAAAATATATTGACTAAATTTCATTGTCATGAGTTAGGCTGAGTTAGCCAAATATTACCCTTCCCCCACCCCCTTTTTTAGCGTTGAAAATCAATATGCAAGTAGACAAAAATTTCACAAGTTGGTGTAAATTCTGTGGAACTAGATTTTCAAGTTTTATTTATTTCTACATTTGGAGAATGGCGTTTCAAAGGTAAAAGTTGCATCCAGACGATGGGCACTCATCCAATTTCTCTTCTAAACTTTGTCATCGTTTATCAGGCACGAATCTCAATCGAAAGGTAAAAGTGGCGTCCGAACGGTGATCACTTTAAGCTAATCCAATTTTTTTTTCTAAATTTATGATTGTTTATCAGGAATCTCATATGGGCAGGCAGTGGCGTTCCAATGATAAAAACTTTAAATAAATTTTTATTTTTTTTTCTTTTGCCCGACTTTTTCATTTCTTAATCTATAAAATAGATATGCAAGTAAGTCACTTCATATATCCGTAAGGAAACATATGTTAGAGCCGAAACTAAAGTTTTATCGCATATTCTGAGTGTTGAAGAGTAAGTTTAACCCCAACGAATTGTTATAGTTATGAAAATTTGAATTTGAATATTAAGCGATAAAATTCAAGTTCTTACTAGACCAAGAGCTCGTTGGTGCCAACTTTTCCACTTTGCTATTCCAAAACTTTATAATCATTCAAATAGATTGAATTCACTCTCGTTTCACATTTACTAATTAATTTATGAGTTAATTGTACTAGAGAGGCCCAAAATATGTGGTTTATCTCGTTTTGGTCCTTAATATTTCAATTGCATCATTTTGGTCCTTGAAAATATTGAATATGTTTCTATATGATCCTTTAAATAGACAACTTCTAGATTACTAATGATTTTTTATCATAAAATTGTCACGTAATACTTAAATAGGACAAAAAATAATTTTAATAGTTCTTAAACAAAATTTGGATAGGTTTTCAAAAAAAAAAGTGTAATATATATATATATATATCACCTGTGCCTGAAGACATAGAATAATAAAAAATGATAAACAATAAACATATTTGTATTCATATTCAAAATCAAATCACAAATATAGAAAAAAAATAAATGAATTGAAGTATCGATTTATACTGAAAGTGAAAAGTGGTGGATAGCAGTGGTGGTGATAGGAGACGGTGATGGTGTGTGGTGGATAACAATGACTGCAGTGGTAGTGGCGGGCGACGACAATGGTGGAGGTGGAGGTGGAGGTGGTGGTGGTAGGGGTTGTGGCAGCAACGGTGGCGGTGGCGATAGTGGTGGTTGCGGCAGCGACGATGTCGGTGGTGGGGGGCGGTGGCAGCGGTGGTGAAGGTGGAGGTAGGGATGGTGGCGGCGGTGACGACAATGGTGGTGGTGGTAATGGNGGTGACGACAATAGTGGTGGTGGTAATGGTGGTGACGGCGGCAGTAGCGATGGTGGTGGAGAGGGTGGTGGTGGGTAGTAGAGGTAGTGGTGAGGCGGTTTCAAACACTATTTTTTTTAAAGTATTTATGAAAAATAATTTCTAAAAGTACTTTTAAAAAATCACTCAAAACACACCTTTATGGTCATATTTTTCCTATAAAATTTGAGGTGTTAATATTAGCTGTTAAATTAACTTTAAAGTAAAATTTAAAACGATCTCAACCGCGAATAACAAAAGTCATTTTATTTATCTTTTGAGATTTGAATTGTAAGCTACTTTATATATATACTAATTATTGTCTGTGCCTGAAGACATAAGGTAATAAAAAACAATAACACAATAAACATATTTATATTAGTATTTAAAGTCAAATCACAAACATAGAGCAGAGATAAATAAATTTAAGCATCGTTTGTAGTGTGGGGTGAGAGGTAGTGAGCGACAGTGATGGTGGTAGGAGACAGTGATGGTTGTGGTGGGTAGTAATGACTGTGACGATGATGAGTGACGACGATAATGGTGGTGGTGGCGACTATGGTTGTGGTGGCAGTGGCGGCGGCGACGACGACGATGGTGGTGGTGGCGACGGTGGTAGAGGTAGTGGTGTTGCGGTTTCAAACATTATTTTTTTAAAATGTTTATGAAAAATAATTTTTAAAAGTACTTTTAAAAAGTCACTTCATACACACTTTTAGGGGCCCATTTTTCTTATTAAATTTAGGGTATTAATATTAGTCATTAGATTAACTTTAAAGTAAAATTTAAAGCGATCTGAATTGCGAAAAACTTTGAATTATAAATTATTTTATTATATATATATATATATATATAATTTTTGACCAAAATTTNCGATCTGAATTGCGAAAAACTTTGAATTATAAATTATTTTATTATATATATATATATATATATAATTTTTGACCAAAATTTGGATAGTTCATAATTAAAATTGTGTAATTTGGGTAGCTATTTATTCAAAATTTGAGTAAAAATTTGGTTAAAAATTATCCAAATTATTTTTTCGTCCATGTTTAATTATAATGTAACAAATTTATGATAAAAAATTATTATCATGACGCTGTCTGTTTAAGAGATCATATAAAAATATATTCAATATTTCAAAAATCAAAATGATATGATTGAAATATCAAAAATTAAAATGAGATAAATTTCATACTTTGAAGACACAGTACAATTAACTCTAAATTTATTGAATAAATCTCAAAATATAGTGTAAAATTAGATTATCCCAAAATAGATATAACACAAGTAAACAACAAATCTAAACTCAACGANTGAATAAATCTCAAAATATAGTGTAAAATTAGATTATCCCAAAATAGATATAACACAAGTAAACAACAAATCTAAACTCAACGAGCGAGTCTTACGTGATCTCTAACGTTGTCATCATTGACCAGTTCGAGTAGCGAGTTTTGCAATGGCTGAAAATTTCCGACCGCCTTCATCTCCAACGTCATGCACAATCACATCTCGTGATCAATTTTCTTTCAGTGATAATTTTCCCACATTTTCTCCCACTTTCTTTCGATTTCTCCCTCTCGCCATTTTGATGATGAAGTTTCATGCTTGGGACTCCACAGTGTAGACGGAAATGGAATCATCGTCGTCATCTCAACATGCGAGGGGGTCGTTCTCGTCGAGTAAAGGAGACTCGGCAGATTTTGAACCGGAGCTTACACTCAGTGACAAGCTTAAAGCCTTTAAATCCTCTCAATTTGAACCTGAGGCTTATGTAACCACCAAATGCGGTGGCATGAGTGAGAAGGTTAGCTCTGTATATCCTGTATCTATCTATACCCATGTATATAGATAGGCATTCAGATGGGTTCTCTTTCTGGTATTGGATTCAGTGTTGGGCTTGCCAAAAATTGAGCATTAATTGTGTAATATTTATATTTTAAATAATAATTTATTTTTATTTTTTTCTTAAAATTGAAGTGGATAAAGAGAAAATAAGAGTAGGCAGGGGAGAAAGAATAGAGATATTTGTGTATTAGTGGGATTGTTTGACATTGAGAAATGTGTCGATAGAGTTGTACGATATCAGGGCCATGCACAGAAGCTGATGTTTTTGGGTTAAAAATTTTTTTTGGATGAATTTTATACCATCAGATCAAGTAGATAAAAATTAAATTAATCTTNGATTGTTTGACATTGAGAAATGTGTCGATAGAGTTGTACGATATCAGGGCCATGCACGGAAGCTGATGTTTTTGGGTTAAAAATTTTTTTGGATGAATTTTATACCATCAGATCAAGTAGATAAAAATTAAATTAATCTTGATTATTGTGTTTTTATAAGTTGAAAATCCAACTTACTTGCTCTAATACTAGAACAGCACTCCTGATTTTTGATTATTGTGTTTTTATAAGTTAAAAATCCAACTTACTTGCTCTAATACTAGAACCGCACTCCTGATTTTAGTGCCAAAAGGTTATATCTCAAATGCTCTTGCTAATCGATAACCGCGGAATATTGCATGTTTTTATTATTTTTTAAATTTCTTATTTATGAAATGGCGGGTTTGTAATGGCCCATTGCTTTTATCTCCTTTCAGGGTTGTGCTCATATATATATATATATATATATATATTTTTTTTTTTTTTTGATCTTGATTGTGCTCATGTATAAAACTCATTTATTTTCTGGGATAATGAAAATTCGAAATTTAACGGCGAATATAAGTAAATTTAGGCATGCAATGGTGATACAAAGAAGCTAAGTAGTACTGCATTTATATTATTTGGATGAATACATATTTTTTTGAGCTAGAAATGTGGAAGAATGTGGCAGCATTTTTAACTCTTAATTCATAGTGTAAAAACAAGGGCTTAATAATTTTGTACTATGTTGACAGGAGATAAGGCACTTGTGCTGTTACCTTGTAGACTTAAAGAAGGCTTCTGCAGAGGAAATGCGTAAAAGTGTTTACGCTAATTATGCAGCCTTTATAAGGTCAGCACAATGCATCAAATAAGGCAACAATGATATAAACTGTAGTAATCAACTTCATTCACCTGTTTGTTTGCTGTTTCCCATTAGTTGTTGCTGTTGTTGTTCCTGACATACTATTTGTGTCATGAAGTTTCATTAACACAATAGTTTCTCTACCACCCAGACCTTATGCGCTAGATAAAGCTGTACTTGACATGAAAAGTCCACATAGGATTTTCAGATAACAAGAATCATGATAGATGGGGGATTTACTGTGAATCTCCTACCTTTGAGAATGCTAAAACGTCTTGGGATTGCTATTCATCGATTGTGCCTACTGAATTTGATCATACTTGATGGGATGTCTGATTACTTAATACAAGAGCTCAAAACTGAGTTGTCCAAAACTACTAAAACTCCTAGGCAACCTTTGATTTTGAGGTTCTTAGAAGTTAGAAGCACTAAAGAATGCTTTTGCTGCTTATCTAGGATGTTGGCACATGACACACATACTTTATATTGTATTCATTTCCAGGACATCTAAGGAGATTTGTGATCTTGAGGGGCAGCTCCTTTCCTTGAAAAATCTCCTATCTACTCAGGCAGCTCTTGTTCATGGTTTAGCTGAGGGGGTACATGTCAATGCCTTGTCAGCTGGTCCTGAAGGTTCAACAAAAGATGATATTTTTGATTTTGAGGGCACTGAACCTTCGAAGATGGAGAAATGGTTAGCACATTTTATAGAGAGACTTGAAGTTTTACTTGCCGAGAGGAGAGTGGATGAAGCCTTGGCTGCCCTGAATGAAGGAGAACGTATAGCTGCTGAAGCTAATCACCGTCAAGCATTGATCCCATCTGCGTTTGTATCATTGCAGGCTACGATCACAGAACAGAGACAAAAGTTAGCCGATCAACTTGCAGAGGCTGCTTGCCAGCCTTCTATCAATAGTGTCGAGCTTCGTTCGGCTGTACAAGCACTGCAAAAACTTGGTGACGGTCCTCGTGCTCATACACTGCTGCTTAAATCTCACCATCAGAAATTGGAGTGTAATATGCAGGGTCTTCATCCATCAGGTAGTTCATATGGAGCAGCATATACTGCTGCCCTTTCACAGCTTGTCTTTTCAACCATTGCACAAGCAGCAAGTGATTCCTTGGCCATATTCGATGACGAGCCTGCCTATGCATCTGAGCTTGTAACCTGGGGGGTCAAGCAGACTGAGACTTTCACACTTCTTGTGAAAAGACATGTTCTTGCCTTACCAGCAGCTGCCGGAGGCCTAAGAGCTGTCGCTGAGTGTGTTCAGATATGCTTGGGTCACTGTTCCTTGTTAGAAGCCCGTGGATTGGCCCTTTCTCCTGTCCTCTTGAAACTCTTCAGGCCTTGTGCTGAACAAGCACTGTGTACCTACTTAAAAAGAATAGAACAAAGCACTGCTGCACTTGCTGCTGCAGATGATTGGTCACTCATTTATCCAATAATTGGAGTACGCACTTTGAGTACTGCATCAATAGGTAGTGTGATTACATCCCAGCCGAAGCTTTCTAGCAGTGCTCACCGATTACACACAATGGTTCAGGTGATTAATCTGTTTCCTTCTTTTAAATCATCATTTGTTCTTCTTCCAATAATGCTTGTTCTTTGTCTTGCAATAAGCCGGAAAATTATTGGTTTATTGCAATCGTTATTTTTTTTCAGGATATTTGCGAGGATGTGGGTCCCCTTGAGAGCTTGCAGTTGGCCAACCAAGCTTTGGAAGGTGTTTTACAAGTGTTTAACTCGTTCATCAGTATGCTGATAAATGCATTGCCTGGCTCAATGGAGACTGAAAACTTGGAAGGGTCAGGGAGTCGAATTGTTAGGATGGCAGAGACAGAAGCTCAACAAATAGCTTTGCTTGCTAATGCATTACTATTAGCAGATGAACTGCTCCCACGTGCGGCCATCAAGCTTTCATCCGTGCAACATGGTAGTAGAATTGATGAGCCCCCTCGAAGACCTTCAGAAAGGCAAAGCCGTCTTCCAGAGCAAAGGGAACTAAAGAGACGGCTTCAACGCTTGGTTGATCAGTTGCGAGATAGCTTCTGCCGACAACATGCCCTTGATCTCATCTTTACAGAAGATGGTGGTGTTCGTTTGAGTGCAGATATGTACTTAAGTATGGATGGAAATGCAGAGGAGCTTGAATGGTTTCCATCTCCAATTTATCAGGTAATTCCGTATGACCAAGAAGTTTTATAAATCATTCCTTTGCTCTGTGTTACCAATTTTCACTAGCTCTATAGACTGTCTCACCTACTACCTACGCTTTGCAACCCGAAAGACGGAGCAAAGAGTTCTCTTTGTGGCTAAAGGCTAAGTCCTCTCTTCATAAATTTAGTAGCCAAAGCAACAAGAAAGAGAGAATTATTCAAAGCATGCCTACCAAAAGATCAGTCCAATAATACCACAAACCAAGGAGTTAAATTTCGTTTTGAAAGGTTTCTGTTTCCATGAAAACCGAAATGAATTGTTGATTGAATATCATAATCCTATGTTTCAAAATGTTTTGGTGTGTTTCGACCAATGTTTTAGAAAATAATTTTCAGATTTTTTCTTTGTTTTGATCTTGTTTTCGAAAAGTTTCCATTTTTAAGCTCACCGAAACTATGCATCAAAACGAAATTTTGATCCTTGCCATTAACGGGTAAATAGCACAATACTTCTTTNTTATATTAATATTTAAAGTCAAATTACAAACATAGAGTAGAGATAAATAAATTTAAGCATCGTTTGTAGTGTGGGGTGAGAGGTAGTGAGCGACAGTGATAGTGGTAGGAGACAGTGATGGTTGTGGTGGGTAGTAATGACCGTGACGATGATGGGTGACGACGATAATGGTGGTGGTGGCGACTATGGTTGTGGTGGCAGTGGCGGCGACGACGACGACGATGGTGGTAGTGGCGACAGTGGTAGAGGTAGTGGTGTTGCAGTTTCAAACATTATTTTTTTTAAATATTTATGAAAAATAATTTTTAAAAGTACTTTTAAAAAGTCACTTCATACACACTTTTAGGGGGCCATTTTTCTTATTAAATTTAGGGTATTAATATTAGTCATTAGATTAACTTTAAAATAAAATTTAAAACGATCTGAATTGCGAAAAATAAAATCATTTTGTTTATCTTTTAAAATTTGAATTATAAATTATTTTATTATATATATATATATATAGTTTTGGACCAAAATTTGGATAGTTCATAATTAAAATTGTGTAATTTTGGTAGCTATTTATTCAAAATTTGAGTAGAAATTTAGTTAAAAATTATTCAAATTATTTTTTTATCCATGTTTAATTATAATGTAACAAATTTATGATAAAAAATTATTATCAGGACGCTGTATGTTTAAGGGACCATATAAAAATATATTCAATATTTCAAAGATCAAAATGATATGATTGAAATATCAAGAATTAAAATTTAATAAATTTCATACTTTGAAGACACAGTACAATTAACTCTTAATTTACTGAATAAATCTCAAAATATAGTGTAAAATTAGATTATCCCAAAATAGATATAACACAAGTAAACAACAAATCTAAACTCAACGAGCGAGTCTTACGTGATCTCTAACGTTGTCATCATTGACCAGTTCGAGTAGCGAGTTTTGCAATGGCTGAAAATTTCCGACCGCCTTCATCTCCAACGTCATGCACAATCACATCTCGTGATCAATTTTCTTTCAGTGATAATTTTCCCACATTTTCTCCCACTTTCTTTCGATTTCTCTCTCTCGCCATTTTGATGATGAAGTTTCATGCTTGGGACTCCACAGTGTAGACGGAAATGGAATCATCGTCGTCATCTCAACATGCGAGGGGGTCGTTCTCGTCGAGTAAAGGAGACTCGGCAGATTTTGAACCGGAGCTTACACTCAGTGACAAGCTTAAAGCCTTTAAATCCTCTCAATTTGAACCTGAGGCTTATGTAACCACCAAATGCGGTGGCATGAGTGAGAAGGTTAGCTCTGTATATCCTGTATCTATCTATACCCATGTATATAGATAGGCATTCAGATGGGTTCTCTTTCTGGTATTGGATTCAGTGTTGGGCTTGCCAAAAATTGAGCATTAATTGTGTAATATTTATATTTTAAATAATAATTTATTTTTATTTTTTTCTTAAAATTGAAGTGGATAAAGAGAAAATAAGAGTAGGCAGGGGAGAAAGAATAGAGATATTTGTGTATTAGTGGGATTGTTTGACATTGAGAAATGTGTCGATAGAGTTGTACGATATCAGGGCCATGCACAGAAGCTGATGTTTTTGGGTTAAAAATTTTTTTTGGATGAATTTTATACCATCAGATCAAGTAGATAAAAATTAAATTAATCTTGATTATTGTGTTTTTATAAGTTGAAAATCCAACTTACTTGCTCTAATACTAGAACAGCACTCCTGATTTTTGATTATTGTGTTTTTATAAGTTAAAAATCCAACTTACTTGCTCTAATACTAGAACCGCACTCCTGATTTTAGTGCCAAAAGGTTATATCTCAAATGCTCTTGCTAATCGATAACCGCGGAATATTGCATGTTTTTATTATTTTTTAAATTTCTTATTTATGAAATGGCTGGTTTGTAATGGCCCATTGCTTTTATCTCCTTTCAGGGTTGTGCTCATATATATATATATATATATATATATATNCCGTCTTCCAGAGCAAAGGGAACTAAAGAGACGGCTTCAACGCTTGGTTGATCAGTTGCGAGATAGCTTCTGCCGACAACATGCCCTTGATCTCATCTTTACAGAAGATGGTGGTGTTCGTTTGAGTGCAGATATGTACTTAAGTATGGATGGAAATGCAGAGGAGCTTGAATGGTTTCCATCTCCAATTTATCAGGTAATTCCGTATGACCAAGAAGTTTTATAAATCATTCCTTTGCTCTGTGTTACCAACTTTCACTAGCTCTATAGACTGTCTCACCTACTACCTACGCTTTGCAACCCGAAAGACGGAGCAAAGAGTTCTCTTTGTGGCTAAAGGCTAAGTCCTCTCTTCATAAATTTAGTAGCCAAAGCAACAAGAAAGAGAGAATTATTCAAAGCATGCCTACCAAAAGATCAGTCCAATAATACCACAAACCAAGGAATTAAATTTCGTTTTGAAAGGTTTCTGTTTCCATGAAAACCGAAATGAATTGTTGATTGAATATCATAATCCTATGTTTCAAAATGTTTTGGTGTGTTTCGACCAATGTTTTAGAAAATAATTTTCAGATTTTTTCTTTGTTTTGATCTTGTTTTCGAAAAGTTTCCATTTTTAAGCTCACCGAAACTATGCATCAAAACGAAATTTTGATCCTTGCCATTAACGGGTAAATAGCACAATACTTCTTTGCTGAAAATGGCAATTCTAAAATAATCTGAACTTAGACTGATGTTGGTTCTTGAAAATGGTGTTTGCCATTCTTATGTATTAAACAAGTTGACATGTCTCAGAGTGCTGAATCAGGAGCCTCACAGCTGCTAATTTTTTCCTTTTCTGTAATGTTTTTGAGCTTTCAAAACTCCTTTTCTGTTCCAATTCAACCATAAACACATTCTTCTAGTCTACTTTATTTTGTGGGCCATTTGTTGGTGCATATTTTGCTCTAGGAGGGTCGAGACTCGAGACTGCAGGAGGCTTGTTCTTGTTCATTTATGCCAAGTCCTTGATAACTATTTATCGTCTGGTTTAAACTTGCTATTGGAAACTAATTGTGAACAGCCCAATTCATTGGTTCCACAACTTATCATAAAATGATTCATCATCTATAAAACCGCTTTCAGGAACTTTTTGCAGAGTTGACTCGAATTGCAAGCATAGCATCAGACATGTTTGTGGGGCGGGAAAGGTTTGCAACTATTCTTTTAATGAGACTCACAGAGACTGTCATCCTGTGGCTTTCTGAGGATCAAAGCTTCTGGGAAGAGATAGAAGAAGGACCGAGGCCTTTGGGTCCCCTTGGGCTTCAGCAGGTTTTTATTTTATTCTTTTCCTTTTTTCATGTCACTTCCAACTACCATATCTCTTAAGCTTTGAAGCAACAACACTACAGTTTGAACTGTTATTTTGTTTTCACTTTTCATCCAAGGGATTGCTGAGCTCTGTGCTTTTGTTGTTTTGGACAAAACTGGATACAATTGTTTTATATAACCTGCAACCAACCGTAGATCATCTTTGTTATACTACCATGGGGCCATCCATGTCTGTCTTGTTTTTCATTTTCAGCTAGGCCTTCACCCCTCACTCAAAACAATTAAAAGAGAAAAACTAACAAAAAATGTCACTAAAATTTTATACTTCTGTCTGATTCTTCTACAGTTTTATCTGGATATGGAGTTTGTGATACTCTTTTCATCACAAGGTCGATACCTATCACGAAATCTGCATCAAGTTATCAAAAACATCATAGGTAGAGCCATTGAAGCAGTTGCAGCAAATAGAATAGATCCTTACAGGTAAGTCTATATTGATAAGTGAGGAAGGAAGCATTTAATTAGTACAATTTTGTTTTGAGGGCTTGTTTTGCAACTATTTTTGTTTTCAATTCTCCCTCTTGTAAGGATTAAGAAACTAACGCCTTTATGCATGCAGCGTGTTGCCAGAGGAAGAGTGGTTCGCTGATGTTGCTCAAATAGCAATAAAGATACTGACTGAAAAAGCCAATTTTGGAAATGTGGATCGAGATGTTAATAGCCCCACTGCATCCATATCAGCATCATCAGCCTATTCTCATGGAAGCAACTAATGTTTGGTTCATTAGCAATATTCACAGCAGATATATTAGATGAAACAGCCCCAAATTGTTGGGACGAGATTTGTTGACATAAGCATTCTAAATGAAACAGACGCTCACCAAACATTTGATTAATCAGCTCAGATATGTTTTCTCACACTTAATGTTGTTAAATCTTTGTTTATCGTCCTTTGTGTTGTGGGAATAAGTTCACAAGGCATCTATCTACATCTGCAATGTGCACAAGTTCTCTGATCTGTGTCGGAAATAAAAGCTATTGTGAATAATAATAGCCCCCCAAAAAGCTGAAAAAAATTAGGTGGAGAAAACAAGAAGAAATTTGCCTTGATCTTCATATCAACTTCATGCTTACAGTGTTTCTGTAAATGTTAAAGGGGCAGCTCTTCACTCGACCTCAGCTGCTGGTAATTCATGTAATCAATTCCATTTAACCGTATACAACATAAAATCTGCTCTGGCAATTCTTCAGTTTTGTTTCCCTGAGTCATACAGAAAATAAAAAAAAATGAGAAGAAAATAAGAAAGAGAGAAATGAGATCAGGAAGCCGTGTAAACATGTTCAGATATCAGAAAGACTTGCCTGAATTGTGACGCCAAAATCCAAAACACAGAGCTTTAGTCTATCTTGGAATGCTCCAAAACCCTTCCTAGAGATATAGCTGAATCTATGCATATCCAAATCAATCTCAAAATAGTTTTCCCCCTGTAAAAAAATCACCCCAACTGGTTCTCATAGCAGAATCTTCACTTTAAACAAATCTACTCCCTTAAAATTTTCTTCAATAATTTATCTATCGCAACCCAATATCAGGAAAAAAACTGAATTGAACCATTATGAAAAACCAGGCTGAAGCTTACCATATAGAACTCGTGTTGAGGACGCGAAAGAACAGGTTTTTCATTGTAAGCTTGCATAAGTTTCCTCTCAGGTGCACTTAAAGGGAGGTCTTCCACATTTACTACACGGCCCAATATTTTCAACCTTTCCCGGAAGGGGATGAGTGAATCCGCAGGAAAACCTTTGACCTTTTCTACTTCGTCATCAATTAACCTCTGTTCCAAAAGAGGATGATGAATCTCAATTAACCTTGTCTTTGTAATTGCTATGACAAATATCATGTAGCATAAGTGCCAAATATAAATATAGTCACATGGAACAGAGCAAGAACAATAAAATTCTAACTAAAAATTGTTTCAGCTTACCATGATATTTTCTTGAAAATGGGATGGAAGTTCCTTTGAGTAACTTTCTGAAAGTTTGAAGTACAAAACAAAATTCATTCCTTCCCCGTCAGTTTCATTCTGGAAAATTGCCGGAGGATACAATGGAATCTGTAAGAACCTCATAAGAACGTAAGTTTCAAAACATAAGGAAAATAAGAATAAGGCAATTCTGTTATTGCAGGACTTCACTGTTTGAACTTTAAAACTAGTTTTCAAGGTTTGTGAAGGTCAACTGTCACGCATAGGCATATATAATACTCCACGGTATAAAATGCTAGGCATGAAATGCGCGAAACCTGAAAGTATCAACATATAACTGGCAAGAGGGATCTAATTGGATTTGTAACGAGTACGTCAAATGAGAAAGTTCAGGCACCTAAGAAAAAGATGAAGAAGGCCGGCTAAAGACGGGTTCGTCACTGAGCCAAGTGAGGTACCAGCACTAGAAGGGAAGGACCAAAAACGAAAGGTGGGGTCTACACAGTAATACTTTCTTTTCTTTTTTTTTTTCTATTGGGGCTTATTCCAGTTGAGGAAAAACCCCTCCAAAAATAAGTGTATGCCACTAAATGTAATGAACACAAAGCAATTTACAGTTCTGCATTGTGCTTCAGCATTCCTCCTGGTCCTTCCCAAGAAGGTGTCAACCTCTAGTCTCAACTCACACTATGGTCCTATGAAGAAATACAATACTGAACGAATGTGTGAACCATAAAAACAGGAGGGGATGGTTCATAGTTGTTTCCTACGCTTCAGCCTATGCTGAAACAATTTAATCTCTGAAGCATATGCCCACACAAAGATAAATAGGGTGGATGGTTTGTACTAGCAACTGATATGAATTTCTAAGAATGTCTGAGGACAATACTGAAATGTAATTAGTAAAGACTAATGAGACTAGTCAAAAAAAGAGGGAATACCTGAACGTTTACAACAAGTATGGGTGGAAGGTTCCTGGATGAAGTAATAACAGGGAGTTCCACAAACCGAGCAATGTGATCAATTTTTCTCTGAGATAAGAATACATCGACACCAAAAGGATAATAGGCAGCATGATTAGGAGCAAATTCCTTCTTTCTATCCCTGCCAAACAAAAATTGGTGCCAAATGACATGCAAAAAAGTTCAGTTGCAAAGCTTCCAACCTGCATTCTTTAAGTACAGAGTTTTGTACGACTATAAGTTTGTGCCCTTCCATATGCATGCTCATGCATAAATTCACAAGTCGAGTACATTCGAGTTACCTAAAATAATTCTCAGCCCGAACTTTGAAAGTACTTGGCTCAATGTGTGACCAAGAATCAAGCATTTTCTTCTCGACCGGGCAAAAAGGTACTTGAGAACCAGCTATTGGTCTTTGCAGAAGCATCTTTGAAGAAACTAAGAAGGACAAGAAAAAGCATAAATGTCAGTGGCTATCTTTCAATGATTTTGCTACCAAGGTTCTTAGAAGAATATGATTCTCTTAACATTATTTTTGTGGAGGAGGGTGGGGAAAGGCATCAGAAGGAAATGGTAAGAAACTCCAGAAAGTATACAAATCAAACTTCTCAATTTGAGGTAATGATTCCTAACTAAAAGTTTGAACACGTATTATCTCGTATCCATATCTGTGCTTCCTAGAGTAAAACTAATAATAAAAATGCAAATTTTCATGCATCTAACATTATGTTGCAGTAATTTGACATATAAGAATAAAGACTGGTGATACTCACGTAAAGCAGCATTTGGATGTCCTTCCCTCCATTTAAAAGAAAGTTTTGAGGCAGCTTTTTTCCTTGCACTTGGTGGTGGACTAGAGCTTAGAGATCTTCTCTTCTCAACTGTTGGAACAGTATTGGCAAGACAGGGCAAACAGTTGTTTGGAATAATTCCACAATTATCTAATAAACCATCCTCCCTACCAGCACTTTCACCTGGAGATGAGGAAATTTCATCAAGGTAAACAGGCTCTGCTTCATTCAGATGTCCATCTGATTCGAGTGCAGAATCGCATGTGCACGAATTCCCTCGTCTCTGTAGTTTCTCAGGGGACGAGGGGCGTTGGATGTTGACTGGAGCAACACTGGATGTGGATGAACCTTCAAAACCATTCAGGGATAGTACATCCGCTGTAGAAAAGACAAACAAACATTGCAAAAAAAATCAATCAGAACAGGGAAAAAAAAAGATGAAATTCGGACATTTCATCAAAAGAATAATCTGTAATTGTTATACCGTCAGGAACGCTTTGGAAATCTTCATCACTGAAATCAGATTCAGCAGGATCAAACCAAGCCTCCTCAACACTTCCTGCTAGTACCCCATCACATATCATTAAAAATCGGGTTCGGTCACAACTAGAGGAGAAATCTCATGGTTTCATTAGAAATGATGTTGCTGTGATTCCAGCTACATCTCTAGCTTTAGCATGAGTCAATGTCACAGAACACAGAAATTCCGAAGCTAGATTACCGTATCATGTCATTTTCATTGGAAAATACTCCGATACCGAAACAGAGACAGTAATTGGAATTTCACCTTAGCATATATTGAGATACAATAAAAGCTTCAGCAGAGATTATTCGAGCTTAGTGCTCTATTATACTCTCTAAAAGATTGAAGTACTGCCAAGAACGAACTGTAAATTTAGATGTCCCGATAATTCGTGAGATTAGACCACAAGAGATTTATTCTCAAGAATCCAGAATACCCTGGTCCTTAGTTTTTGGATAACCTACCTCTTGACCGAATCGTAAAAAAAAATTAGTTGAGGTGAAAATTCACGCTAACGGTTGAAACAAAACCAAAAAAAAAAAAAAAGGAAAGATCGAACCATTAGGTCAAGCAGGCCAATTTCCCATTACTATTGATGATAGAAATATTCTGCAACTTCCTAAAAACTACATTATCANACTTCCATATGCATGCTCATGCATAAATTCACAAGTCGAGTACATTCGAGTTACCTAATATAATTCTCAGCCCGAACTTTGAAAGTACTTGGCTCAATGTGTGACCAAGAATCAAGNCCTTCCATATGCATGCTCATGCATAAATTCACAAGTCGAGTACATTCGAGTTACCTAAAATAATTCTCAGCCCGAACTTTGAAAGTACTTGGCTCAATGTGTGACCAAGAATCAAGCATTTTCTTCTCGACCGGGCAAAAAGGTACTTGAGAACCAGCTATTGGTCTTTGCAGAAGCATCTTTGAAGAAACTAAGAAGGACAAGAAAAAGCATAAATGTCAGTGGCTATCTTTCAATGATTTTGCTACCAAGGTTCTTAGAAGAATATGATTCTCTTAACATTATTTTTGTGGAGGAGGGTGGGGAAAGGCATCAGAAGGAAATGGTAAGAAACTCCAGAAAGTATACAAATCAAACTTCTCAATTTGAGGTAATGATTCCTAACTAAAAGTTTGAACACGTATTATCTCGTATCCATATCTGTGCTTCCTAGAGTAAAACTAATAATAAAAATGCAAATTTTCATGCATCTAACATTATGTTGCAGTAATTTGACATATAAGAATAAAGACTGGTGATACTCACGTAAAGCAGCATTTGGATGTCCTTCCCTCCATTTAAAAGAAAGTTTTGAGGCAGCTTTTTTCCTTGCACTTGGTGGTGGACTAGAGCTTAGAGATCTTCTCTTCTCAACTGTTGGAACAGTATTGGCAAGACAGGGCAAACAGTTGTTTGGAATAATTCCACAATTATCTAATAAACCATCCTCCCTACCAGCACTTTCACCTGGAGATGAGGAAATTTCATCAAGGTAAACAGGCTCTGCTTCATTCAGATGTCCATCTGATTCGAGTGCAGAATCGCATGTGCACGAATTCCCTCGTCTCTGTAGTTTCTCAGGGGACGAGGGGCGTTGGATGTTGACTGGAGCAACACTGGATGTGGATGAACCTTCAAAACCATTCAGGGATAGTACATCCGCTGTAGAAAAGACAAACAAACATTGCAAAAAAAATCAATCAGAACAGGGAAAAAAAAAGATGAAATTCGGACATTTCATCAAAAGAATAATCTGTAATTGTTATACCGTCAGGAACGCTTTGGAAATCTTCATCACTGAAATCAGATTCAGCAGGATCAAACCAAGCCTCCTCAACACTTCCTGCTAGTACCCCATCACATATCATTAAAAATCGGGTTCGGTCACAACTAGAGGAGAAATCTCATGGTTTCATTAGAAATGATGTTGCTGTGATTCCAGCTACATCTCTAGCTTTAGCATGAGTCAATGTCACAGAACACAGAAATTCCGAAGCTAGATTACCGTATCATGTCATTTTCATTGGAAAATACTCCGATACCGAAACAGAGACAGTAATTGGAATTTCACCTTAGCATATATTGAGATACAATAAAAGCTTCAGCAGAGATTATTCGAGCTTAGTGCTCTATTATACTCTCTAAAAGATTGAAGTACTGCCAAGAACGAACTGTAAATTTAGATGTCCCGATAATTCGTGAGATTAGACCACAAGAGATTTATTCTCAAGAATCCAGAATACCCTGGTCCTTAGTTTTTGGATAACCTACCTCTTGACCGAATCGTAAAAAAAAATTAGTTGAGGTGAAAATTCACGCTAACGGTTGAAACAAAACCAAAAAAAAAAAAAAAGGAAAGATCGAACCATTAGGTCAAGCAGGCCAATTTCCCATTACTATTGATGATAGAAATATTCTGCAACTTCCTAAAAACTACATTATCACAACATATTAACAATGAAAAGAACCCAATATGATTATTGATCATACAAAACAATTCTCCTTAATGATCTTACAATTATTAAAAGAACCCACATTTTGTCAAAAGAAATTAATACTGTCGAAAAAATTTCTTTTTTTTGTTTCGTTCAAAAGAAAGACTTCCATATAAAAGACTCTTCAGACCATACAAAATTGTCAAAAGACCACACACACATACATGTGTGTGTATATATATATATATATAGAGAGAGAGAGAGAGAGAGAGAGAAACGAACGGCGGAAAGTGGGGGTGTGGAAGGGTCGCTCAGTGGAAATTCTGACGGACTTGTCAGCTTTGTCGGAGGAGCGATCGGTCAAATGAGATGAGACTCTTNATATATATATATATAGAGAGAGAGAGAGAGAGAAACGAACGGCGGAAAGTGGGGGTGTGGAAGGGTCGCTCAGTGGAAAGTCTGACGGACTTGTCAGCTTTGTCGGAGGAGCGATCGGTCAAATGAGATGAGACTCTTCGCTTGATAGTTTTCCTTCTCTTCCTAGACTTCTTCTTGGAAGACCCCAACCCACGTCCTACACACCTCTCCGGTGTTGATACACAGGCTCCCATCTTCACTCACTCACTCAAAGTCCAAGAATAAAAAACCTCCGGAGAGGAAAAGAATGTAACAAACCAATCTTCAATCACAAACCTCAACTGATAACCAATCGACCATTCATATCACAAACATCTCAACTGAGTCCAGAGAAAGAGTAGACGGAAAGAAACCAAGNAAGTCCAAGAATAATAAACCTCCGGAGAGGAAAAGAATGTAACAAACCAATCTTCAATCACAAACCTCAACTGATAACCAATCGACCATTCATATCACAAACATCTCAACTGAGTCCAGAGAAAGAGTAGACAGAAAGAAACCAAGCGTGGGTTGGANCTCAAAGTCCAAGAATAAAAAACCTCCGGAGAGGAAAAGAATGTAACAAACCAATCTTCAATCACAAACCTCAACTGATAACCAATCGACCATTCATATCACAAACATCTCAACTGAGTCCAGAGAAAGAGTAGACAGAAAGAAACCAAGCGTGGGTTGGAAGTGAACCCACCAACTACCTCCTCTCTCTCTTTCTCTCAATATATAGATATATAGATATGCGCATATATTTGGTGTCTGATTTCCAGTGCTAAGCTAAGTCCGAGAGAGAGAGAGAGAGAGAGAGAGAGAGAAGGGGGGGGAGGGGGGCAATTAGGCAAACGAGTGATGGCAGTTGTTGCCTGTCCAAGGCATCTCTTTGATGGTGGGACCCAGTGAGATGAGAAAATGCCACGTGAATCATAAGGGGAAACAAGTTGAATTCGTGTATTTTAACGGAAAAATATTATCAAAACTTTCATTTTAAATGATATGTCGCAATTTCTGTCATTAAATATTAATAAAATTTACGTTATTAAAAGGTGGCTAGATTTGCATACAGAAGATCATCAATACATGTGTCGACGAAGACGAACCGACCGGCGGGGCTGTGACTACTATCCGCTTTGCAAATGCTTGACGGCACCAATTCAAAGGTCTGTATGTACTGCTAAAACATATACAAAATTGTTGCTGCGTGGCCAACTGGCTAGGTATGAATTGATTTTAAAATCGTGAATTCAAACATTATCGTATCCTCTTTTTCTATTGTAGTGCATGACAAAAAAAGTAAGAAATAAATCACCGATTAACTTCTAATTTTTTATATATCAAAAAATAATATGTTCACACGTTTACCCGCTTTCCAACTCCAACAACAACAACAAATTTGGATGGTTTTTGATATTTTATTAGAAATAAAATAATTATTTAACGTAATTAATATAGACTATCATGTATGAAACTCATTCCCATTGAGTTTGCCCAATCTCATATATATAAATTTAATACTCCGAGTTACTTAAGGGTCGGAATATAAATTCTGAGTTTAAAATGTTAACCAAACACAAAATTAAAAAGCCTATCAAATTATTATACTTAAACTTATCCTTTCAAATCTGCCTAAACAAACATCCCCCAAATGATTTAAGTTTATTCAATAAAGAGGTAATTGAGACAGGTTTGAAAACAATAGCTTCTTTTTTAATAAACATCTACCCACCAAAGCTGGTTTGGTGATTGTGAGTTTTGACCAGAAATGTTTACTTTTGCAAGCTGAGAGAGACTATAGTTGATACTAAAATATTGTGACCAATCATTAAAATTATAATTTTTAAAAATTGAGTTATAGTTACTTAAGAAAATTCATGATTGATCGTGAATTTCTTCCGGAAGTTATAATTTTATTTTTAAAATGTGTAATCTTACCATTAAAAATAATAACTTTTGATAGATTTTTTTAGTATTTTATGCCCTCAACTATTAAATTTATCATGACCACCAAGAAGAAGAAAAATATAAGACCAAGTCTTTCAAGAAAAGAAAATTGTTCGTGGACTAAGCCTTTAAAAAGAGTCCAAAAATCATCTTAAAAATGTTTTTTCTCTGCTTAAAAATATATTTATTGCACAATTCTCAATGTAAGATAATTCAATCAACACATTCTTCAATGTCAAGCATCCTCACAAATCCACACTTATCTATCTCTTAACCTCCCTCTTATTTTTGCTTTATTTAATTTAATTTTAAATTGTGTAATCAAAGAAAACAAATATAATAAATTATTTTTTAAAATATAAATGTATATTATTAATGCTCGATTTTTAATATTACTGAATATCTTTAAACACAGAGTTAAAAAACAGCAAAATAACCATAACATTGAATTGGCTAGTGTCCATGCAATGTATGAATCAATATATTGGGAGGTATTGTTGAGAATAGGCATTAAGAAGACAAATGGTAACAGCTAACAACATAATCCAAATATCTATAAGCTGGGTGGCGGGGGTTTTTGTGAATGTCGCCACGACAATTCCCATGGCAAATCTGAATCTCAAAGACTAAACATGGTCTCAAATTAAAATAAATTTAGGATAGTTTAATGTTAACTTAATCAAAAAAACTTAAAATTAGGTAATAAAGACATTTTCGAGTCTTATTCAAAATTCTGACTCAAATTTAAATTTGAATAAAAACATATTAAAAACAAATTTTAGTCTTTTACTCAAATTTTTAATAGTCAGATTTTACCAACTTTTAAACGGTCATATGTCGCCCACTTCTGTTATAACTAGTAATCAAACAAATGACATACAATAGCAAAAATCAGAGCTACCCGAGTGCACGGGATAATTCCTACAATAATTTGAGACATCGATCTCTAAATTAGCGAACCTGAATCAACAGGGTTAGAAAAAGGGGGGTCAGGTGAACACCCGACTTATTTCCTCCGAAACTTAAGTCAGTCTAAAGTCGAAGGGTTTAGCTCAATGAACAATCTTTTTCTGGTTCAAGTTTGTGTACTTTTGTCAATTTTTTTGAAGAGTATTTATACCTGAATTAACAATGATTGCCAAAGGTCTTCAGTCCCATCTAGACATCTAACATCTGACACACCATTCCTCGCGCAATGAGTGTTTTCTACTCACATCTCCTATTAAATGCTAGGACGATGGGATGAGCGCTCGGCTAAATGCTGAGCATTTATGCCCTTCCCCGAGTACCCAAACCCCTCGGATCGGCATCTGGCATCAACTGAGCATTGAATACTTGACGGAATAGTTCCTCAAGGGGAGCGGCGATCGCGTTGTCTCGGCGCATCAACCNAGCATCAACTGAACATTGAATACTTGACGGAATAGTTCCTCAAGGGGAGCGGCGATCGCGTTGTCTCGGCGCATCAGCCATTAATACTTTAGCCATCATAATAATAGGTCTAGACTCCTAGGGGGTTGTAGAGCCACCTACATTACTCCACGTGTCAACCCGAGGGCTGTAGAGCCACTTAGAGTCCCGCCAACTACCCGCCAACTGCAATCCTTTTTGCAGTGTAAGACAAGTGGCGTAAAGAGATTGGAGGCTCATTCATCACGTCTTACTAATAGTGACGGTTACTGGCACATCTTGCGCCGCCCTTTTCAAATACCCTAATGATGACCCAACTTTTTGATTCCCGCTCTTTGTAAGCCAGCATAAATAGCAGGTATTTATGCCTCCTCCGAACTTTTGCATCCTCAGCCTCTCTTTGGCAATCAGACCCCGAGCGCTCCTTTGTTCTCCTCCGAGTTTCCTTCGTCCTCTGAGCTCCTTTTTCAAAGACCACCTTCCTGTAAGTACTTTCATTAGAGCTTTTTCTTTCATTTCCTCTACGTTTCTTCCTTTTAACGCCCACCAATGGCCAGAACTAGTAGAACTAGGGGGGAGACATCCGTTAGGGCTAGGGCTACCCATAAGACTAGGAGAACCCAAGTGACTGATGAGAATATCCAAGCTTTCAGGGTTAGGTACCATATTCATGAGCTCGTCTTCGCCTTCCCCTTTAACCTTACTCACCATAGGAGGGATATGAGAAGTGTGGACATGATGCCTTTCTGGATGAAGGTCATCATGGAAGGAGGGTTGACCTTCCCTCTCCATCCCTTGTTGCTGGGAGTGTTGATGCAACTGAAGCTCTTCCCCCTACAATGTGGGGTTAACTTCTTTAGGATTGTGATGGGCATAGTCGCCTTAAATGCTCGGCTGGGGACTAACTTAGGAGTAGATGGAATTTTATTCTACTACGACCTGAGGTTAGTCACCGGGGGGAGATACTACCTCCAGGCTCGAGACACCTCAATGTATCTGGTAA